TCCTCAGTCATTTACAGACTGTGAGAGCAGAGATGCAACACAGCCCCGTCCGAGTATTTTGGAGGCCTGCCGCTTCCATCAAGTTTAGTCATTATCACTTTCATTATCTAATTTTTCCACATTTGCAACATTTTCTAGCTTGATTAAATGTAGAGTGAAATAATGAGTGTGGATGAGATGACTTTTCTTTCTCTTTTTTGTTTTAATTTGGGCTCTTCCAAAAAAAGAACATGTCTGTAAATCCAGTGATATTTGTGCTTCATTTGTCCTGCTCTTAGCTTTAACAGCGTGACGCCTTATTAAGCTGCTGCCAGCAGGAGCCAACGGGCCTTTTGAATTGTCACTGGAACAGCAAAGGTGTTATTATAAGATTCCAATAAAAGCAAGCCTCGGCAGTGTATTAGCAGGGGTGGAGTGGGCAGGACTCGAGTGCATTTAGCAAGGGAACAGTTTTGTCATAATTTGAAACCTAGAGAAAAAATGTGAAAAATATGATTTTAAAAAATGTCACCTTTTTCCAACTTCTTACCATGGACTTTTGATCCTTTAGTTTAACAGCAGATGCAGCGTGAAATAAAGTCAGGCTCCGCCGGACTGAATGATGTGCAAGACAAATGTGCTAACATGAAAGTCCTGGTTTGCCAGGAGCCAAAATGCTGTGTAGACCCTAGGGCTACATTCACAGGATGGAAATAAGCCACCATTAGTGATATTAATGAGCAGATTCCATGCTGTGGCGTGTCAGCTCTGAACTCGGAAATTGTTTCTCCACTTGCTAAGGTTTTTTTTTTTTTTTTTTTAACCTCAGCCATTACGAGATTAAAACACTGTGCAAAATGTAACTCATCAGTGAGCATTGTAATCAGCCTGCCTGAGACTGTATAATCACACAGTGAACCGTTCCCGCCTTCGCTTCTTCTTCTTTCCTTTTTTTAGTCAAACTTTCAATTTGGTTGAAAAAAAAAAAAAACTTATTCGGAGTCAACAGTGATCCCTCTCAGTTGGAATTGCATGAATGAGCGCTGTGTTTGCCTGCAGGCCTTCGGGGAGGCCTTGCCGAAGTGCCTCTTGCTCTAACAATTGAAAGCAGGTAAACCCAGAGGAATGTTTTCAGGCCAACAGTGCGCTGTAACATTTCCAGTTCTCTTCTTATCCACCGTAATCCAGGTCACAGAGGAGAGAGCCACTGCGGTCCTGAGGAAGCGCACTGGGGTTTTTGGGTTCCAAGCTGTCACACAGCGGCTCCCCTCTGATGTGCTCCGACTGGTGTTGTATTCACTTCTGTTTTATGCATGCTTGTAGCTTTACTGGAGAACATTGGAGCCTGCGGCGTCTCAGGAAAGAAAAAATCAATTTATTCCACGCATACCGCAGTATACGTGTCGCTTGGGGATAACAAAATGGACGGGAACGTCTTACTGCCACTAACCACTCTGGTCGCAGAAATGCACCAGAAACCCACAAACTGACACTTTCAGAGGCACCTTCACTAAAGCAGGGAGGAAAGACTAAATAGAATTAAACTGTCATCTGTTGTTTCAATAAAACAAGATATTTGATGTCATATTGGTTGCTTATTGTGAGTCTTTCGCCAGTTTTAAGGCTAACTTCAAACATAGGCTGATGGGATTGCAGCTTGGCTGTTGAAGCACGGATGTTTCTTTCCAAACAACCCTAATAGGAGATCTCACATTCTAATGCTTTGTCTCTCACCATTCCTCTCCTTTCTTATCTGCCTCTGGTGACTCCCCTGACTTTATGGAAATGGGAAACTAGATTGCTTGGGTGCCCCTTTAACAACATTCCCAGCAAGAGGCTGGTGTTTACAGCATATAGGCTCGGACAAGCTCACTGTAAAAGTGGGCTTAATTGGAAAAATGGACATTAGGTAAATCAGGCCCTCAGGCTTCACTGCATTAAAAGCAGACACAATTCTGTTAGGAGGAGGAACCCTTCTGAGAGTGACTGTCAGGGACGATCCCTGCAGAGAAGGGAGTGTAAACTCCACCACGCAGTGCAAGAGAAACAATTACTGCCTGTCCTGTATTTGCATAGACTTTTATTAACTTGTAGACACGTCTGTGTGGGAATATAGATGAGGTTCTACTGCCACTTTCCTCATAAACCTCCTCCTTTGCGGTTTAATCAGGATCGCATTCCAAAGAAAATGGGGCAAAAGAAACAGCTCATGGAGTCAACATAAAGGTAAAAGTAACACGGAACAGGAGAAAAGGTGGACAGGGGAACTCTAATTTGTCCACAAGTAGGCGATAAAATCTAAACGATCAACATTACTCAAAGGCTTAAATGGAAGGACATATTATTTATTTTGCAGGACCTTAAATCTGTGCGTAAAGAACAAGTGTACAAGTCAAATATATTAATCCTTAAACTGCTTCAAGAACTATTGTTCTTCAACAGTTAAGACAAGCACATAGAAAACTGTCTTTAAAAATCTAATTTTAACTGCACCCAGAGGTGGGGTCATCTACACCCAGCTGAGAGGCATCTGAGATGGGCCATCAGTCAGAAATATGCCACTAACGGGCAGTTTAGAACTGTCCTCAGTGAATGCAGATGATACACAGATGTGAAAAAGCTTTTTATTCCCTACTGTGTAACAAGCCTTAGTTTCTCAAAATGAATTTCTCCTGACAAAGTACATTCACCAGACAATACATTATGTATTTTCTTCTTAACTTGGTTTTTGCATCATATTAACTATTGTTTGTACATTAGCATAAGGGTGATTGCCTTAAGAGAGACTCCTGACTGATATGCATTGAATTGCACAGAATAATGCCTCAACTGTTAGAAAGGATTGACTTGGTATTACTTTCCTTAAAGTGCTTTTGAGAAAAGAAAAAAATCCCACTGCAGCATAGCAGAAAAAAATATGTTACAGGCTGACACTTGCTCTGTTACCACATGTGAGACAGAAACTGGGGACGCATTAGCCTCAGCAAACTGTCCAGACCACAAAGCACCTCCCTGAGCAGGCTAGTGACAGATAAAACAGACTTTTCAACGTGTTCTGTCAGTCGGCTGTCTCGGCAGGACTGAGGAAGCAGCCTAAGCAGAGCATTAATGCACCGGTGGGACAGAAAAAGAGAGGAAAAAAATGCAGCTGAACTGAGCATCAAAGACTTCACCTTCCATTCGCCACCATGGTGATGCAATCTGGAGCACTTTGTGAGTCCGGCCTCGTCTGTCCAAACAGCACAGCCGCTGACATTAGCAGAAAGCCCCTGAGTCAACACTCCCCTGTATGAATACGTTAGCATTTATAAATCATGCATGTACAGATTTCATACACAGAAAACTGATGTCCCTCTTACAGTAGAGCTGACCCTTGCAGACTTTAGTACACAATTCTGCCCCCCATTTGTGTGTTTTAACATGATTGGACCCCTGTGTAATTATTTTCTTTTAATTTTTTTGAACACATATGGGAACTACATGGAGAAGCCCCAAACAGAGCTCCTGTGTTAAAAAAAAGACATGACATCTCTGAAACCAAGGTCTGGGCCCTCAGTAACACTCGCCCAGCTTTCACTCTTCGTTTTGGGGATTTTCACCCATGCTACCTGGAAGAGGCAGAAGAAGAAACTATTATTCTTGGGTCGACTTGTTTCCGCTGCTTTTTAGAGGTGTATTCAATGGATTTTTTCCTGGTTGATATTAAAGCTGGGGTATTGCAAGGTCCATAGTTATTCTTTTGAATTTCCCTCACTGGGGGAAGAATAAAGTTTTTTTTTCTATTTTGTTCTATTCAGCTTGATGCCCTTGAGGCAGTTGAAGGTGTGTTGTGAGATTTATGGCATCTTCTGATTTTTCTTTATAGGTTTTCTTACTTCTCATGTTGAGACTTTCTACCATTTTATTTTGTTGTAGCCTTCCAGATCTTTATTTCTGCATTGGTGTGAGCTCATATCTCACAGTAGCATGAGCAGCAACTACCTGGACAGTTATCATAATTCATACTATAATCATATTCTTAATACTTCTGTTCAGTGGGCATAAATTCTTTTCAATCTCAGAATGAGAGGCTGCTGGTTATTGAGACATTTTTGGAGGTGAGAATTAGCAAAGCCTTGAAATTTGCATCTCTCAGCCTTCACAAGAATGAATCTGGAGGTCAGAGATTTTCCATCTCAAGACTCTCCACATCATTTAACATATACATTTACAGCTGCTTCAATGTATCCAAAAGAGCCTTTAGGTTTTTTTTTTCTTTTCCAGACTGTCATTTACAGTGAGCTAGACTGTAAAAGCTGCCATGTTTAAGAACTGAACTCAGTGAAAAGCTTCTCCAAATGACTCCTTTTACGAAAGCTGTGAACACAATTATATCTTTGGACTGTTAACGCGCAGCACTGCTGCCACCTAGTGGTGCTGCCATCCAGCGTTTCAGACATTCCCATTTTGTTTAAATAAAAGGAACAAGAAAATGCATGAATAAATTCTGACATTTCTACAAAGGAGTTTGGAACCCCACCAGCCTTGCTGAGCTCACTCAAAGTTTGGTCACCATAGTTACAAGGTGCTGCACAATTAACCACACTGTGGGGAGAACCTATCAGAACCCATTAACCTTGAGTTAGACCAGCATCTGAGCACGCAGCCTGCCTTTGAGCAGGACAGGTATGGGGTTCTTTTATGTGAAAGCATGCTGACTTCAGAATAAGTCTTTTGTCGTGTACTTCCGGGGATCATTAAAAACCATTTCACATCCAGCTGCGTTAACACAACATTCAACTGTTCCAATTAAATAATCCAATTACATCTATATCGAATATTTACCTCAAAGTGGAATACTTTAGTTTAATAAGATTCTTCATTGGATATTTTCTTTGCGTTATACTGATTTAGGATTGTGATGCACAGCAAACTCGCAAAAACAGGGATTTTCAGGAGCATGGAAATATTCACAATGAAGTCAACCGCGACTTTCACATAAAAAAGGCTTCAATGAGCCATTTAGATTAATAGTTTGTAGAGAGACACCTGTATATTTGAGACTTCGGACACTAAAATGACCACATAGTTTCATGTAGTTGGACAAAAAAAGTGTTTATTTGCAGCGATGTATTATCCAATCTAAGCCAGCCATCTGATGATCCCTTGACCCATCTGAGGATGTCAGCTGCAAATTTAATCCAGCTGCAAAAGAAAAAGAAAAGGATTAAAATCAGACACATAGCATCATTAACGCTCAGTAACGACTGAGCCACAATTTACATATACTACTTTTAACAACATTCAAACAACTGAAAAGGTTCAACTGAAAAGCAGTTTCACCTGTGAAAATAACAATCGCTCTTTTTCAGACTTCAGAAATGCTACGAATCTTGACCTTGCTAAACCGTACTTATTATAAATGGAAGCTGGACTACTCACCTTAATAAAGCCAATGTCTTTCGCGTACTGCCTGAAGCACTGGCGGCACATATTGAGCCCGTATTTGCGGATCAAGCCGTGTCTGTTTGAGCACACTCGGCTGCAATACAACAGGAAAATAGAAATATAAAATTGTGTCGTATAAAACAAACCTGGAAACCGGTAGTGCACGACACAGGGAAATGCTAATAGATTAGCCTATGGCTAAATTAAAGCAGGACGTAGTTAAAAATATCGGCAAGAATTACGGTCTGAGTACATTTTGGCCTAAATTTCGAAACCCAAACCAACAGCCGCTCCATGACAACTCAAAACGGAGTGCTGACTGAACACACCGACACGCTCATTGCTTTGAATGGTGGTGCTAGACGGCGCATCCTTCACCGCCATATTAGCTCAGACATAGCGCACACGCGGTACCAGTTTGAGAGCTCGTTTTAAAGCCAGTGCCGACCCAAACATTTCAAAAGCCACTCGTTTTAGCGCATTAATCAATAAATACCAAAATTAGGACAGCACTGACCAGGAGCGGGATCCCTGACCGAATTTTCGGGGGTGACTCCAGTAGAGCTGCTGATGGCCCATCTTGTCTCTTTTCGCTCGAGTGTCGGAAAGGAAGACGGTTGGCTGCGCATGCGCAAATGAGCCCTGCAGATGAACTGTTTCCGTCTGGAGATTTGTTGTTTTGCACCTCTATTGGCAGAAAAGGGAACTACAGATGCAGATGAAAGATTCGGAGAAATTAGGGGTTAAAATGTTGGTGATGGAGAAAACTATTTTGAAAGGTAATAAAAACTTTATTTTATGCTGAAGTGATGTAAACAGTAACCCTTTCTTTATTAATGTATATCTTCTTTTGAATAGATTATAGATCATTCTATGTTCTGGCAATGTCATCAGTAGTTACAAAGTAGAGGGGGAATAAGAGTCGGGAAATCCATATTTTAAACTCCTATTACCATCTTACTGATGTGTTCTAATCACAGTCCTTCTAAACTTGACAGACTATCCTTATCCACAAATCCGGCTTTGCAAATAGTCTCTTGCATATTCATGTTACTGCCATACTGCTACATAACTTTACAAGTTACACTTACCAAGATTTTTGCCCTGTTCTCGCTTTTATTTTACTGAATGAATATTGAAAATCATATCTCTCTGTTTTCTCTTTTACATATTTGAAGTATTTTCAAATTATGTCTTTATCAGGTTTCCATAAAACAACTACCATTTTAACACCAATCTAAAGGCTATAAGCACTCTGTCTCATTTCATCTGTGGACTTTTAGCACCTTGCATGGCGTATTGAAGAATTCCCTTTTCCACTAAAAATCTCGTATATGGTGGCCTGAGTGCAGTTTCTGTGCATTTCCTCCCAATGGTAAAATGATCATGAGAATCCAAACACAAACTCTGACAAACAGTCTGCAGCTGCAGTGGGATTGAGGATATCTGGAGGCTCGGAGGCTGTTTAGGAGCCACGGGTGCCCCCCGCTGGACCAGTGCATTGTGGGACAGCAGCAGGCGGTGGTTCCTTATTTGTGATTTTTACAGCTTGCCGTCAGTTGCGTTTCCATGCAGCCCCCTCGCTGGAAGGAATGGAGGAGAACGGGAAGCCTCCGTTCTAATTTCTCGCCGTGAACCCCCCCCCTCGGACCTCCCTAGTTTTCGGTAAGCGGGGTATTTATTGTGACTGTGGTTCGCCTCGAACGCTCCAGTAGTCGAGGCTGATTTGAAGTTGCTAGCTGACGATATGCTAACGAGCCGTTAGCATTTTCGGGTCGCTCTCTGTAACGGAACGAAGCCGAAAGGGAGAAGGCGTTGTGTCCGTGGTTTCAGTTCGCACATTTAACACCATTCTGCAGAATTGTTGCCACAGCCACTGATGATAACGTCGAACAAGGCTGTCTCTGTATGCGTGACTGACAGCCAGCTGGGGACAGAGGCTGCCAGGCGAATAATCGTACATAAACCGAGGCAAAAGTGGCTCAGCGTACTGTGAAAAAAAGCATAAGGCGGATATGTTTGCAGCGGATTTGAAAACTTGCCAGTGTATGCAAACCATTCAACTTTGAACGAAAAAAATATTTGTTCTCTGTAAAGTCAAGAGGCGCCTTCCATAAGTGGCGTTTTCCTTGTCTGTATTCATGCAAACCTTTACTAAATGAATTGGTTCTGCCATTGGTGGCAGTTGTTTGTGCTGTAATTTTCACAGACTTGAACACGTATCACCTATGCTCTGCGGTTTAGTCTTAGTGGGACTTTGACAGACAATACATGGATGATAGAAAGCCTAAGAGAGTACTAATTTGATAAAGAATAAGAAATGGAAGCTTGTTCAACAAATCTGAGAGGAAAGGGCCAATCAATATCAATAATCTTATTGGAGACTGAATGCAATGCAGGGAAAACAAGAAGCCTTTTTTTAGTAATAATGCAAGCCAAGAAAACATAACTGTCCTTGTGATGTACCTGTTTTTGAAAGATTCCCATGTATCAAAAGCCAGAGCATTACCTTTCTGTGGCAAAACTATGCAAAATGTTGTCTTTAAGCAAACGATGATTAACTGAATGACATTTTGGTCCAATCGTTGACTGTAAGTTTGTCTCTGCTCATCATTTTCTATGTAGTCTTGGATATTATCACTAGCATTTAGGCTGCACCAGTATATCCAAAGGAAAGTGCAAACTTAAGGAAGAAACCTTGCCTCATTCCTTTGATTGAATTTTTCATTTTTTCATTATTTTATGTCATAGTCTAGGTTTAGGGAGCAGTCTTGTAAGGTAGTTGTCCATCAACTAAAGGCTCATTTGTCTTTCCCAGTCTACATGTCGCCATACCCTTAGGCAAGATACTGAACCCTTTGTTGGTTTCCCCAAGTGTGCTCCTCATTTTAAAAGTGGGCTTTGGACAAAACCTGGGCACAGTGAATCCATTATAGAACCCAAAGTGTTGTCTTACTACAATATTACAGGCAACCCAGCCAGTTTTAACATGAAATTGATTCACTGATGATTAACATGACATGACCTTGCTCTTCGGAGAATGGCAAATGATCTGTAAGACTTTTTTGGGACAATGCCATAGATTTGGCTTGTTTTCATGACGCCCAACCTCTCATAGAGCAGTGTACAGAAGTAGTGAGTTGAAATTCTTGCAAGGCTCAGACCTCAGACGTTTTGCGTCACACAATAAGGAGAAAAGCTTTGCTCCAAGTGCACACACTCACACTGGACAAGATATGAGAGTAATGGCACATCATATATTACGGGATGTTTTGAGGGAAACTATGACCAGAGCTGTTGTCTCACGTGCTCTCACGAGGATGCGGATGTAAACAAAATGGATACTGTTGTGCATCAGGGTGATGTGACGTCAGCAGACCTTTGCAGTAGAGGGGTGGGAAAAACTCGGGAGGCAGAAAGCTAAGTAAATCCACATCAGTCAGTGGTTCAGAAGGTGCAGTTGTAACAGGAGAAGTCTATCCCTCAGCAAAAAGAAAAGAAACTGGAGATGAGATTTCAACTGTTGGTTTTTAACACTGGTCAACAGTTGTTTGCTAATCTTTGCCATAAGGGCTCAAATGTCTGTCGTTGCTTGGCAACAAATCTGCTCACCCGCTCCAGGATCATGAGCATCCAGATTTTTGAACTCCTAAATATCAGACCATGCTTGATAACACAGCAGCAGGCTGAACAGGCTGTGAGTGGAGCGTCTGGTAGGGACTTTATGTTAAATTGTGTGTTTTAAAATAAAAATTAATTTAATCTTGTTTAGTGGTATCAAATGAATCCAGGAGCAATTCTATGCCTCCCTGACAGATCTTTGAAGAGGATAAAAATCTACAGTTCCACTGTATGCTTGAATAGAGGGCTTATTTTTATTCTGATCACAAAGTCTTCATAGTGTTCGTATTACACAATGCAATGTCCTAAATATCCCATTTATTCTTATAATTTCCCTATGCTCTCTTGATATCCCTATTTAGGTTCTTATGCTGTCTTTAACCCTGCTGCTATGCTAACTGCTATGATCCCCTTGGCTAACTTAGTTTCCTGGTTTATTTTTCATCCAGGTGGCTTATGCACACTGCCTCCCAGCAACCACCATGCCTTATGGAATATTCATCAACCACCAATGACATTCCAACAGGATCAATGTTTACAATTATTTTTTACAACTAGCCTCCAAAAATCTTATTTTTAATTGGGCATCCCCCTTTCCCCATCGTGCAAAGCACAAGAACACTGCAAGTTTCCATTTATATATATATATATATTTTTTTTTCTTTTCTGTTTTTTCTTTTCAACTATCAACTTATCTCTCTTTGCAAGAGGCTGAACATCTATCATGAGATTCAGAATCTACAAAAGGAAGGTGGTGATACTGACTCTGGTGGTTGTCATCTGTGGCCTGGCATTCTGGAGCAGCGGAAGGCAGAAGAAGAGCGAGAGTGGATCGTTGCCCAAGGACGTGGAGATTGCTAAGAGGAGCAGCAGTGTGAGCAGTAGCATCAACAGTCACGTTCAGCTGCCGGCAACACCTGCAGTTAGCAGGTTACCTGTTCCACCCCCAGGCATTAAACATGCTAATGACACGCAGCAGGAGAAGGCAAAGGAGAAAGCCAAAATGACTAAGCCCGAGGTCGATAATACCACTTTGGTCTATCGTGGCATTGTCTTCCAGCTCAACTTTGACCAGACAATAAGAAATGATGAGAAGTTTAAGACGGCACGGCAGAAAGACGATCTAGTCGTGGTGGTCCAGGTCCACAATCGACCAGACTACCTCAAGCTGCTAGTGGACAGCTTGCGAAAGGCTAAAGGTGTGGAAAACTTACTGCTGATATTCAGCCACGATTATTGGTCCCCAGAGATAAATAAAGTGGTGGCCTCAATTGATTTCTGTCAGGTCCTTCAGATCTTCTTCCCCTTCAGCATCCAGTTGTATCCCCAAGAATTCCCAGGACACGACCCCAGGGACTGCCCTAGAGACATTCCAAAAAAAGACGCCTTAAAGCTGGGCTGCATCAACGCAGAGTACCCCGACTCATTCGGCCACTACCGCGAGGCCAAGTTCTCTCAGACCAAGCACCACTGGTGGTGGAAGCTGCACTTTGTATGGGACCGAGTCCGAGCTCTCAAAGATCACAAAGGTCTGGTTCTGCTCATAGAGGAGGACCACTACCTGTCCCCGGACTTTATCCACCTCTTGAAGCTGATGACGGCTCTCAGACGGGAGCAGTGCCCCGACTGCGACATCCTCTCACTGGGGAGCTACAGCCACATCAGTTACTCCAGCAAAGCAAATAAGGTGGAGGTGAAAGCCTGGAAGTCCACGGAGCACAACATGGGGATGGCTCTGAGTAGGGAGACCTACCAAAAACTCCTCCAATGCACTGACACGTTCTGCACTTACGACGACTACAACTGGGACTGGTCCTTACAGCATCTGACCGTCTCCTGCCTGCCCTCTTTCTGGAAGGTCATGGTGAGCGAGGCGCCCAGGATTTTCCACGCCGGAGACTGCGGCATGCACCACAAGAAGTCCGCATGCATGCCCGTCGGTCAGAAGACCAAGATCGAGAACATCCTGCAGAGCAGCGGAAACCAGCTGTTCCCGAAAAACCTCCTGATCACAAAGAGACTGCCAGCCAACGGGGCCGGAGGCGTGGCCCCGCACGTCAAAAACGGGGGGTGGGGAGATATCAGGGACCACGAACTCTGCAAGAGTTATGTTCGATTACAGTGACCTTACTTGCTACTATTCTATATTATTGTCTCTTTTGCATCCTGTATAAAAAAAACAAGTAACTCTTTATGGACTCTTCTTCATATTGCCTGTTTTCTTGAACTATTCCAAATAAAGACGAATGTTGGATTTCTGGCCTCTTTAACACACATGTCCCATTGTTTTACGTGGCTGCTGTCTTGTTAGTCACTCTGAATAATATGTTTCATTTTCAGGGTAGACAAATGCTCATGTGACGCCGTTATTACTGAAGTAGGACACCTTTAAATAGACGGTAAATTAAGAAATTCAGCCAGGTGTTCATCGGGGCAAACGCAAGATTAGCTTCCGGATGAATTTAATTAACTTGAAGATAAGAATAGTGCTGAATTTGCTGAAATCAGAGGGGGCACATGAGAGCATGCAGCTTTCCCACAGAGAGGAAGGCAGTTGCAGTACAGGGAATGACGGGATGCTGAGGACGCATCCAGGAACACCTCTGCCTGGAACAGAGATGCCACAGAGCTCTGCAGCCTGCTGGGTATTGTTTCTGTTTGTTGCAATGCATCACTGTCTGACAGCATGAGGCAGAGCTCTGAAGTTCAGGCCACCGACTCTGCAGAGATTTTCGCTGACGAATAAACACAATACAACTAGAGAGAGATCCCAGGAGTCTGATGCTACTTTCTTACCTCTGTTGTTGCTACTGAAGATGCATTTACATTTTAAGTGCTTCGGCCCCGGTTCAGTATTGATGGTTTCCGCTGAGAGCCTGAGCCCAATTGATTTTTCTTTTTCTTTTTTTTCCCCCCTTATCCCTTCTCTCTCAATACTGTTTACTGTTCAGTTCTGTCCATTATTTAAAAATCTGGAATAATTTTCCATTGATGTTGGCTTTCACTGCCGTTCATCAGACAAACATCCTCTGGTAGTCTTAGCTGGTGGCTCTTCTGCCTATTTAAAACCTTACATGAATTCGATAAGTGGATCTTAATCCGCTGCTCACATCCCATGCAAATTTTTGTTCACTTTGACAAACCTTTGAAACAAGGGCAGTGTCTGGCCGCCTGAGTGGGTCCACGTTCCCCACAGATCTGGGCGCCCTGGGTGGGGTTAAAAAAAGTCCTAGTTAATTTCTTATTTGTGAACTTTTAATTCCTGCTGCGGCGCTGCTGTGCTGGGGTCACGTGAGCGGCTCAGTGTGCAGCTGCTCTCACGGCGGAGGCTTGGATAATTGGGCCTGCACCTCAGGGGATCCGGGCTGGCTGAGAATAGGCTGACGAAAAGAGGTAGCCTCAGAAACCGCAACCTACTCCAGCGTTTGGAACTTTCAGGTAGCCGCGGGTCTGCCCGCTCCGCAGAATAGAACACTTTCATAACAGGAAGTCTCCATGACGGCCTGATAAACTACGCAGAACTGGAGACAAACCTCAGCATGTTAGGTCTGACTAACAAGACCTTTTCTGAAGATTTTGTGAAAGCACACGTGTCATTTATAGAAAGTCATTTTTTCCCCATTATATGAAACTGTCTTTGCAAGGCAGCGCTGGGAGGCCTTATTAAACATTCATAGCTGCTGCACACATTGCTACATAAACAGAAGTTTGGGTCAGTGCAGGGGAGGGGAGGGGCTTGCTTTTGCATGCAGGATAATGATGAGAGCTGGAGTCTGTCTACATCTATTGAATTTCCATTAAGCGGGGGTCTGTTTACCCAAAGATACATGGAAGTATTTTTCCCCAGCCTGTGTATGTATATCTACACACACAGTCCTTTCCTTATGTAAGACATCTCACTTAGCACCCATCTGATAGATCCCGGCTCAGCAGAGACGTGAGGAGCTGAGAGGAGCGGTGAGATGTCAGTCTTGGCTGCTGAGCGACACCCTGACAGGAGGATCGTGCCAGCTCGGCCTGCTCATCACACTTCTCTTTCCTCTCCCCGCGCAGAAGCCAGAAGCTTCCGGCTAAATGAGGAGCAGAGCATGTGTTTTCCCCTTGAAGTGACTCATGAATCATGGAGAGTGGACTCTCACCCCGCTCTGGGAACATAAAATATAAATGTCGTAGTAAGACTATATCTTTCGGGGGGGGGGTATAAAAAGGGAGACGAGGAGATAGCATGTATAGGGAGAGGCTCCCTTGTTCGATGGAGTGATAAATTGGGAATTCCAAAGCTCACACTTGACTGAGCAATGCTGCCACCTACTGAGGAATGTAGGCAGCAGCTGTGTTTTTTTATTAAATCAGACAAACTTGGACACTTTTATGCTATTAAAAAACACGGACCACCATGGATCTTTTCAGGCGCCATTACAGATATCGCTGCCCCACCCTTTGAGGGACACAGGCGCTTTTTACTCGTGCACACGCCACATCGGCGTCACAGTTCTCTACAAACCTTTCCTTTTTGTTGTATTCTGGTGAGTTAAGTGACCAGTAATCACAAGTGGAGCAAGAGTTCTGTCAAAGGTGTTTTAATAGGCGTCACATGAAGGAAAAAGGCTCCCACTGTTAAAATCCTCAGTCCTTGGTAAACACCTTCACCCCCAGCGCCGCCGCCGGGTGCTGCAGTCCAACACAGTGTCAAAAAGTTTGTTCACAAGTTTGAGAGTCAGAAGGGTTCAACCCTGCCGGTCCAGTCGGATGCGTTTAAGGTGGATTCACGGTGCTGATTTTACGGGGCGGGGGCCTACGTCAGCCTTTTCTGGTTTACCTGAGCTCGGAGTGATGGCTGAATTAGACCACTGTACCCGCCTGCACTGAAAAAGGAGACATGCGGCCACAGGCCAACTGGCTTTCAGCGATACCTGTTAGCCGAGAGGAATTCAAATAGCAAATGATTTGTTAAGAAAAATACACCTGAATTCTCTGTATGTACAGAAAAGAAACGTATCCGCCTGCATATTCAAGATTCATTTTAATTTTAGATTTTCTGTATTAGAAATATCACTATTTTCTGAAACCAGGATCTTTGAACTACCGTAATAGTGATAATTTCACCCATAAATCATTGAAGTACAGTATTTACAAATATTACAGAGCCCATTTAATCTGAAACAATATTAAAATAAATGTTCAATAGATACAAAGGTTTTTTTTTTCTATTTTATACACACACACACACACACTTTGTCAAGGAGTCCTGACACACTCCAATGTAAAGCCATTCTCCTCTAATAAACTTTTTTAAGTGCAAACAATTTTCATATAAAAAACTATGATTGCAGCATCCAGCGTTGAGACAGAGAGCAGTTAGGAGCCTCCTCCCTCCCCCGACAAGTGCTTCCAAAGCTGACGTCAGAATGTTTACCTCGTGTTCCACAGTCATGAATTCAAAATGGGATTTTAAAAAAAGAAAGAAAGGAACTGTGCAAAATTCACTCTTACGTCTGACAATTCCCGAATGTTTCTTTTGAATCGCGAATGAGAGCTGGGGCTCTCGTGTGGAATTACCCATGAAGTGGGGGGGGGGGGGGGGGGGAGAACAAAAAAAAGACAGATATTTTGGAGTTTTGCTTCCACTCCAAAACACTCCCTCATCTTACTCCCTTTATCTGTGAATGTATTAGACGTGCAAGGTTAGACTGAGGCACCATCTCTACTCTGTGTCTGGTCTCTGAGGATCTACAGGCACGAGATATTGGGGATTAGTTATTTTCAGACTAGACATGATCTGATATGACCAAAGATGCACTGCTGAGCAATGAGAGGTTTCCTGGATTATTTAAAGCTCGTCATCTTGCTTCCACTAGCAGCTTTTCAAAATCCCTGCTGGGCCGAACCCGGGGTTTTTGAAAACTAGCAGTCAGACAAAGACGGGATCTGAGTGACTGTAGCGATGAGTGCAACGGTGACACGGAGGTTGTGTTTTTCCTGACAGCGTGTGGAGAAGTGCTTTAGGACCTTGGCCTTGGTCATCCCCGTCTCTGCTGCATGGGGCTGTCATTAGCAGCGCCAGCACCAGGGCTATACTACTGTTCCACTGGGGGAGCTGGCTGGGTTGTTCTGAGATGATAGCAATCCCTGTAAAGAGACAGACAATACATGTTGATAGCAACCAGCAGCATTGCTAGAGCGGGATATTTAGGAAGCAGAAAAGTAAGGTCTTAATGTCAGAGAAGACGTCCTATTAACCATCAAGATGCTGCTGCTTTAGAGAAATAACCTCTGCCTGCTGGCAAACGCTTGTGCTTTAAGCTAAATGAGATTAGTGGTGTCACATGACAGTATCCTCAAGAGGCCAGTCACTCACCACTTTCCCAGGCCGAGCCCATGTGCAAACGAAACCCTCCTGACAGGCTGTAACCAGACAGTCCTCAAGGAAGATTAACACAGTGAGTCTTTCGTGCGCGATCTTCTTGCACACCAGCGGCTCCAGCAGCGGCACTTCCTCCATGCGCGGGCACAGCGTCGTGCCCAGAGTCTTTGCTGCCTCTGCCTTTGCCGTCCGCGAGGAGCTGAGCTGATTGAGCTTGTCGCTGCTCTTGCTGCTGATGTGGCCCATGCTGTGGTTTCGCTTGTGGTCCTTCTCGTGGCGGTCCTTGCGCGAGTCGTGTAAAGACAGCGTGGCAAACTTGCCGACGCTGGAGGCGATGAACGCGCTGTCGATGATGCTGTTGGTCTTGGTGCTGCCGCTGCTTCCTGTGTGGCTGTTGGGGGTGCCGCCCCCCGCTGGGTTGGAGGAGTGAGGCAAGCTATTGGACCGAGGTAGGGTGGCGGGGAGGGAGTTAACTGCGTTGCCACTGGTGCTACTATTGCTCACACTGTCTTTGGTGCCACTGGTGTTGGTGGCGGTGATGGAAACAGTAGTAGTAGTAGTTTGTCCAGTGGCTGGAGGGCTTGTGGCACTCATAACATTAGTGTGCGTCCTAGTGCGTGACAAAGGAAGGTGAGGGAAGAGAATGTCCTCTGTAAGATCCCACAAACAGAGCTGCGTATCCTGTCCCACTGAGCCAAATCTGTAGGTCACAGTGACTGGCCTACTGTCTGTAGAGTTTCTTTTAGAGAGCCGAGAGTGAGAGCTGTTAGCTCTTTCCCTGCCTGTCCCGAAGTGAATCTGCTCATGAAAGTCCTCATCACTACCACTGAACTCAGCTGGTGGGTCACCATCCTCGATACTGGTGGTGCAGTGGTCAAACGCCACAACACTCACCCATGACTTGTGACCATGCCCCCGGGCGATCACTCTGCAGTCCAGAAACGACCAAACGGTCACCAGGTCGTCCTCCCCTCCGGCCACAATGTAGCGGCCGTCCGGGCTCCAGCAAACACACAGCAAGCCACCAAAGTAGCTCTTCATTGTCCCATGGAGCTCTGCGGCGTCAAAGCCAAACACTCGAAGGAAGCCATCCTGGCTCGCACAAGCCAAGAACTTTCCGTCCGGAGAGAAGGCAAACTCGTTGAGCGCTCCTTCGCCCACCGTCCAGCGCAGCAATGGGTTGCGGGCTGACTTGCTCTTGCAGGTGTGCACGGCGTAGTTCTCACCCTGCTTAAGCAGCTGGTAGTGAGGTGCTGTGGTCCCACAGGTGTTTTCCACATTGTATAAATACAGGCTGCCACTGGAGTGAGCCACAAGAAACAGACTCTCTGAACCAGGGACCCATCGCACACACGTGACCCTCGACTTGTCAATAAGTCTCTGGAAGGAGAAAAACAAGAAATGGAAGTGGGCGGAAACTCACTCAATTCTTCTGAATTACAAGAGTTAAATAACAAAACACAATAGAAAAACTCAAGTTTATATTATAAAGCCAAGATGGCGAGGCAGATTAAGTGTCTTCTAAAAAATGTTTAAATCGAATCTTCAGTCTGAAGTCTAAGAATACAAGTCTGTAACACGTGTTTTATCTACCAAATAATCTATTATTAATAATAATAATAATCTAAATCTATAATCACTGTGTGGTTTAGATGCAGACACAGAGGGCTTTCAGACACAGAGGGCTTTCAGACACCTCTGGCGAGCTTCCTTTGAAGCAACACTGACTGGACCCCACCTCTTCATTGAAGAGTTTGCTGGTTTCCTTCTTGATGGGGTCTATGAGTTGCACCTGGCCTGCGGAGAAGCCCACCAGCAGGGAGACGCTCTCTGCTGTTGCTGTGAGGGGGTTGAAGTCATGACACGTGGGCTGCGTTCCTTTGTATATCCTCTTGTCTATGGGCTTGCTGAGATCTGCAGCCTGTGATAATAAAAAATACACATGACAAAACAGATTTAAAATTCATTAAAATAGCCTAGTGCTATTAGTATTGATCAGAAAGGACAGGTGTGTCCATTCATCACCGGCCTATCTTCAACTCAGTCTGACTTTTTGGGCTTGCCAGTAATAATTCCATCTTGTACAGAACCAACTGGTATAAAAGAGTATATTGGTGCTGACTATTCTAAAACTAATTTTCCTACTTATATTTCAGATCATTTAAATACATAATTTTTATCAAAGCAGTTCTTATTGGGAAGTTAGCCTGTCACTTCATGCTTCATCCTTGTCGCCAGGGGCCGAGGAAAAAGTATTTGTTTAGTGTGACAGGATCCCATACGTGTTTGTGTTGACGATCGTCAGTTATTGTTGTTGTTGTTGCTGTCATTGTCCTTATGTGTTGATTATTTTTCTTTTCTTGTTTTTCTGCTTTTAAATTCTCTGTGAAGCACTTTGAATTGTCTTGTACACGAAATGTGCTATACAAATAAACTTGCCTTGCCTTGCCTTCAGGAAACATCATAAACTTAATCGCCATTGTCTCAGTAAGCATCCCAGTTTAGCAAGAGCTTACGTGACTGTAAGCAATCAAACAGTCAACCTAATTTCATAGCATCCAAACTCTCGAAGGCAAGCGCGCACATCATTACACTTGGAAATAAATACTTGTTACTTCCAGTCCATCGGCTTAGATTATGAACTCTTGGTGGGATCTCTCACAGGAACATCGATGCTGCCTGCTCTGTTTAGCACAACCTACCGCTCGTACTCTGAATAAGGCTTTGGTTGTCATGTAAATAACAGAGAAAGGCAAACATCATATGACACGCATTTCCTCGTGTCGTCCAGCTAATTCGGAAATCTCGTGTCCCAGCCCGTTGTCACAGAGTACTCACACAACTGGTGGCCTGGGAATAGTATTAACGAGGAGAAAACAACTGTGACGATGTTAGCCAAGAATGCTAATTAGTCCCCAACTTAGCTGGGTCTGCTACATGGCCTCGGTTGACCACCTGCGCACTTAAATGACAGCGAGGGTGCAACACGTTTAAAGAAGTCCAAGCAATAGGCTGCTCCTGGAGAGCAACGACTGTGTCTACGCTGTCATTATTGTTTACCTTTCTCACGCCTTTGTAGATATAAAAGTACAGTTCCCGGCCCACATTGAAACAGATCCTGTCGCCGTTGCCGGACTGGTCATTTACATTGACGAAGGAGACCTTGACCGGGTTGGAGCCCTGTGAGTTAAAAGGCACCCTGTTCGGGCGGCTGTATTCGGAGTGAGTGAGGAGTTTGTAGACGCCTTCTCTTGTGGTGAACTGAGTTTTAATTTCGTTCATCTCCTTCCCTCCTCCCTCCGCCGCCATCTTGGAAATTGGCGTTCATCCTTGTTCCAGCCCCGGATGTTACAGACAGCGCATGCGTTGGAACGTCGAAGTCAGTTGACATGTAGCCATACGTGCAGGGAATTTGTATGCCAAAAAAAACCCTGAAAAGAGACCAAAATTGTTTTTATAAATAAGGCATTGTATTTCTGGTCTTTACATATATGTTCACATTGATTACTATTGTCATAGACAGTACATAAGATAAATACCAGATACAATTTGAGAGAGAAACAAGCAATTACACATTTGAGAGACTGTTTTTTTCTGTTTTTTCCAAGAGAAAGCAAAAGAGAAATTATATAAAAATGAATATTGTGTTACACATTTCTCTCACAACCATTTGAAGCCATGTATAATAATGCAAGCAGCTCACATCAGACATGTATTCAACAAAGATTTTGGCCCTTGACTGAAATCGCAAATACTGATCTCCACTGAAATTAAATTATTAGTAAAGTTAGAAAAATCACAGGCGCTTTCTTTTCAGCCTTACATTCCAGAAACATCCAGCTATAATGATGTTGGAGTTAGAAAAGCATACACTTTTTTTTGGCCAGGTATTTAAATATCGAGGATACTGGCATCTCCATTTCAGAAAATATTACCTTACAGTGATTGCGACACTGCTGAGACAGTTCTTTGGTTGGCGATACAGTGAGCTTCTAGTAGGGTCTCCTATCAGCAGGAAACATTCTTATTACATAACAGCGCTGATGCAAGTGTCAAACACTGCCATCCTCTGGTTTGATCAAGTCATTAATGCCCACACTAAACTAAAGAATTCACTCCTCTCTGTTACACCATGCTGACATTTCTGTTTCTTTGAGATTTTTTGTCTTGTATCTTGAAATCTTTAGCAAAGGTGAGGGACTTAGCTTGTTTTTAAAGCCTTACGCTCATGATATCATGTCAATGTACTGTGTCCAGATTTATAATGTATATATGAAAATGCAAAAGCAGATTTCTATTAAAGTAGCCAAATTTTCTGCATGAATGGTTCAGTCACTATTTTTCATCGTGTCAATAAAAATACAAAATAACCTTTACCTCATGCCCTGTCTTGACATTTAGTCAAATTTCATGACGCTGTGATTAATCTGCTCTTCCCAACATTACGGCATCGCATATTCAGACATTTATATTAGTTTCAGTCTATGTTACCATCTTAACTCATAACCTTCATAGTAAAGGCCTGATTCATGAACAATTACTATCAGATTTTAGTGTCCCTCATATTGCTTATGTTCACAGCGTCAGGTATAAATAAATATCTCACAAAATATGCTAAGATTTCAATACTGAAAATGTCTTTATAACAATGCATTTTAATCTATTTGCAAGTTCAATCTACCACTGAAAGTTAAGAGGAGCAAGAGAAAGTTCTAGAAGTTAATTACCAAGAAAACCGTTAAATAAAGTTGTGGTAGAAGTCAGAATAAAATTAATAGAAAAGAGACAAACAATTTATCCGACGGGGAAAGTCCTTTTTTCTGTGGTCTGTTTCCCCCATGTGGACATTCACTCATTTGCCATGATCAGAACAACTGCTTCAGATTAGCAGAAGCTTGAGATTCCCCCAAACCTGTGGGCCAAAAAAAGAACCTGCTTATTGGAGGTCCTGTGGAGTGTGTGCGAGTTTGTAGTGGACACACACACACACACACACACACACACACACACACACACACACACAAAAGCAGCTGATAGCAAAGGCAATGCACAGCTGTGGCACTTACAAGGGGGGTATGGGGCCAGACTGCTAGACAAGCTATCAGGAAAGCTCTCTTTGTGAGTGACAGGCACTTCTTGTGACTGTGCAGCCCTATAAGGGCACATTAACTTTAGCGCTACGGTGCCACGCTCACCCCCCCTTTCCCGGCCTTTCCTTTACACCTCCCCTTACTATGGTATAGTCAACGTATCTTCTGGAAGCTTCTGAAGGGGAGCTTCGAGAAACCACCCCTGAAGTATAAAAAGACGGCAGCACGTTGTAGGGTCTGCATACCGTCAAAAGGAACTCGCTTGAACACTACCAAGAGAGACTTAACTGCCCCCAGGAGCAGCTGCGAAGCACACATTTGAAGCTATTCAAGGAGAGAAGAGAAAGAAAGCGATACATTTGAAGATCATCCTTAGGAAGTGATACAGACAAAGAATATAACCAAGGTAAGACTTGATCTTTAAACAAAGCAACAATTTAAACAGTGGGTCAGTGGGTTGCCCCAGTAAAAGTAATTTAAATTAAAGAATAAGTAATCCAGTTTGCGTTTTTCAGCTCAAGATACTTGTAGAATGGGAGGATAGCTTTCCTACAAGCAGTATCTTAGGGATAGCGTAACACGTAAGAAGCACATGGCAAGCAGGGTGACCCTGACCCGAGTGGCCGGTAAGCTGGAAAACTGGCTGGCAAAATTCAGCAGACGAAGCAATTTCACATCTTAGCTCAGCAATTTTCATATAAATAAAACATAGATACAAGCTTATATATAATTACTATTAGTTAGAATTAAACATTGAAAAAAAACATTAATCGAACTGAGCAATATATTTTCTGTTATCACAGGCTGATGTTTCCTTGGAAAAACAACCATAGATTTTATATGTTAAAGACAATTAAAGGTTGGGAAGGTATCAGAGCTCCACCCATTCTTTTTTAAATGGCAATCACGTGATTGACAGATGGAGCACATGCTCATCTGCCATCTGCACTGGACACCTCATGTTTGCCATGTGGCCATCTTAGCAAAGACAAAGACTTGTAGAATGATTTAAATGGGGGAAATAAAACCAAAACACATGGTAAAGAAAATTATATCCTGAATTATAAAATCAAACATATGAAAGGACATTTTTCAAAAATGTAATATTCTGCTTTCTTTCAGATGCCAGCAAGCGCAGGGCACATCATGGAGGAGGACGTGGAGACCTTTGCCTTCCAGGCTGAAATTGCACAGCTTATGTCCCTGATTATTAACACTTTCTACTCAAACAAAGAAATCTTCCTTAGAGAGCTTATCTCAAATTCCTCAGATGTAAGTATAGTCCTCAGGTTAACGTGTATTAATTTCTTCCTCCAAGAAGGAACAGGCATGACATTTTGCATCACTATTGTAATGTCAATTTCTTTTCTGGACAGGCCTTGGATAAAATTAGATACGAAAGCTTGACAGACCCAAGCAGACTTGAATCCTGCAAAGAGCTGAAGATTGAAATCACTCCCGACCTGCACGCTCGGACCCTGACCATAGTTGACACAGGTATCGGCATGACCAAAGCTGATCTGATCAACAACCTGGGCACAATCGCCAAGTCCGGTACCAAGGCCTTTATGGAGGCTCTGCAAGCTGGAGCCGATATCTCCATGATCGGACAGTTTGGTGTGGGTTTCTACTCTGCCTACCTGGTGGCTGAGAAGGTGGTGGTGATCACAAAACACAACGATGATGAGCAGTACGTGTGGGAGTCAGCAGCTGGAGGCTCATTCACTGTCAAACCTGACACTGGTGTGTTTAATTGTTCTTATTTGTATCATTTGACTTAATACTTTACAACTTTGTTTATAACCTGAGATTTCTCTGAGTTTTTAATTTGACTGTTATTTGCAGGAGAATCCATTGGCAGAGGCACAAAAGTTATTCTCCACCTTAAAGAAGATCAAACAGAATACTGTGAGGAGAAGCGCATCAAGGAAGTTGTGAAGAAGCACTCACAGTTCATCGGCTATCCTATAACACTTTTTGTAAGTTCTTACATATAGAAGAGCAAAGGACCACTGAAAAGCAACATTGTGTGAACATCATTAATGACAATGTATATCCTCCCCATATCATTTAGGTGGAAAAGACAAGAGAGAAGGAAGTAGATCTTGATGAGGGAGAAAAGGAAGAGGAAGTTGAGAAAGAAGCTGCTGAGAACAAGGACAAGCCCAAGATTGAGGATGTGGGCTCAGATGAGGATGAAGACACAAAGGATGGCAAAAACAAGAGGAAGAAGAAGGTCAAAGAAAAATACATTGATGCTCAGGAACTGAACAAAACCAAACCCATCTGGACCCGTAACCCAGATGACATCACCAATGAAGAATATGGAGAGTTTTACAAGAGTCTCACCAATGACTGGGAAGACCACCTGGCTGTCAAGGTGAGGTTGAGATAAAAAATACTGCCTTTTTTAATTACCACATCTAATTAGCCTACAACATAGCTAATGACAATGCATCTACATCTTGTACCTGCAGCATTTTTCAGTGGAAGGTCAGCTGGAGTTCCGGGCCTTGCTTTTTGTACCCAGACGAGCGGCATTTGACCTCTTTGAAAACAAGAAAAAGAGAAACAACATCAAGCTTTACGTGCGCAGAGTCTTCATCATGGATAACTGTGAGGAGCTGATTCCAGAATACCTCAGTAAGTAAAACATTACAATGTGTATTCCAAATCCAAATTAATTGTTCAATTATTTGGAAAAGCATGTTAGGAAACACCAATACCTTTCTTTCAATGGCTGAGTAATGTTCATCTTTTCGATATAGACTTCATCAAGGGAGTGGTGGACTCTGAGGATCTGCCCCTGAACATCTCCAGAGAGATGCTGCAACAGAGCAAGATCCTCAAGGTCATCCGCAAAAACCTGGTCAAGAAGTGCCTGGATCTCTTCACAGAGTTGTCTGAGGACAAGGACAACTACAAGAAGTACTACGAGCAGTTCTCCAAGAACATTAAGGTAGGTTAATCGATCTTAACCAGTGAGCTAAAATGAATGATGCTTGTCTCGAGTAGATTAACACATTATGTCATACTTTAGCTTGGAATCCATGAGGACTCGCAGAACAGAAAGAAGCTGTCTGAGATGCTACGCTACTACACTTCAGCCTCTGGAGACGAGATGGTGTCCCTGAAGGACTACGTTTCTCGCATGAAGGACAACCAGAAACACATCTATTACATTACAGGTACGTTGTTTAGCTTGACAGTCTTTTTTTCATTTTTCTCCAAGTCATTTCAAGTAAATAATTAAACAGCATATTTATGAAAATGTTTCAAATTCAAATTTGCAGGTGAGACCAAAGACCAGGTGGCCAACTCTGCCTTTGTTGAGCGCCTTCGTAAAGCTGGCCTGGAGGTCATTTATATGATTGAGCCCATCGATGAGTACTGTGTGCAGCAGCTGAAGGAGTATGATGGCAAGAACCTAGTTTCAGTGACCAAGGAGGGTTTGGAGCTCCCTGAAGATGAGGAAGAGTTGAAAAAACAGGAGGAACTCAAAAATAAATTTGAGAACCTTTGCAAAATCATGAAGGACATCCTCGATAAGAAGATTGAAAAGGTAATGTCTGCATATCTAAAAAGTGCAGTATCACTCTCTTAGTGAATTTTAGAACTTTAACAAAGTCAATCAGACTTTGAACACTGCAATAATACTTAAATGTGCCATCCGCAGGTTGTGGTGTCCAACCGCCTGGTCTCCTCCCCCTGCTGCATTGTCACCAGCACCTATGGATGGACAGCAAACATGGAGAGAATCATGAAGTCTCAGGCTCTGAGAGACAACTCCACAATGGGTTACATGACAGCCAAAAAGCACCTTGAGATTAATCCCCTACATCCAATCATTGAGACTCTGCGAGAGAAGGCAGAAGCTGACAAGAACGATAAGGCAGTGAAGGACCTGGTCATCCTTTTGTTTGAGACTGCCTTGCTGTCCTCAGGATTTACACTTGAGGACCCACAAACACATGCCAACCGCATCTACAGGATGATCAAACTGGGTCTTGGTATGTTTTATTCTCTCTATCTTGGGCAAGATCGTATCAAACTCACATTTTATACAGTAACCATGAACTTAGATTGTTGACAAATGCATTCTTATTCTCAGGAATTGATGATGACGATTCTACAGTTGAGGACCTCATTCAGCCAGCTGATGAGGATATGCCAGTCCTGGAGGGAGATGATGACACATCAAGAATGGAGGAAGTTGACTAACTCAAAATTTCATTAGCTTTCCTAATTTCTATTTTTTGTATGATATATTGCCTCTTCGGTATGCATTTTATTTAACACATCTCCTCTAATCAAACAGTACCGACCTCCTACAACAAATTAATCAAGTGAATTTAGTCTTTAGTCTATACATTAGTCTATACTGGCTATTTATCAAAAACTACCATTAGGATTGATAAGAAGTTACTGGAGATTTGACTTGTGTCTCTTTTTGTTACTATTACATTTTTATATGTAAAGCATTCAAATTTGTAATAAAAAAATAATCCAAATGCAACCTGCTGATTGCCACTATTTTTTCCACTTTGTCTGCATCCCACAAAAAAGATGTTTAAGGAATGAAAAGGAAATGACAGAGGAAAATAATCATTGTTATTTGCATTTTAAACCAATGCCCTTTACTTATATTCAATGTTCTAGAATTTTCATCGAACACCTCCTGGTTCATTCAAGTTTCTATTTCCACGTGCCTCTCTTAGTCAACAACTCTTCCCTCTATAAACCCGCCTCCTTTTGCCAATAAAGGGCAAGGAGGCGTGTAGGCTGACTGATTGACGGCATAGTAAGCCTATCAGCGACTACCACTAAGCTGTAAGCAAGGAGCATTCCAGATGGTTCTGGAAGCACCGGTCAGGATTTTCTCGAATGCTCCGAGAGAGTATAAAGTCAGCATATACCCCACTGAAGCATACTAGAGTTACCAACCGAGAGGAAAAGTAGACGTTCCCGCAGGCGCCCGTACCATTCCACAGCTTTCGATACACCGAGGAACAAGGTAAAGGAACTCCTCTAATTATTGCAAAATTAACCGAGATACCAGTTCCAAAAGCTTTATATGACAGGCCATCTGTTATTGATAGCTAATATAACGAACAATTTGCTTTCTTATTTCATTAATTAATGATTGTGCTTGACAATAAACAATCATAAAATCTTCAGTATGTGTTTCTTGGCACGCAGTTACCCACATGGACTTTAAAAGGTTTTTATTAACTTATTAAATGTAAACTGTATTTATGTTAATGTATTAATACAGTCGCGTATACGCGGTCATGATGCACTCGTCAACGTGAAACATGTACAGTAGAGTGCACGTGCCATCTATTAATGTGAATCTGTGAGCAGCACAGGGTGCAGTTAGGTCAAGCTCTGTTAAGACGACAAGAGTGAGTGTAGTTATCCCCACAGTCTGCTCAGATGCTGAGAAGGAGGGGCTGCCTCCTCCTGTGGAAGCTGCTAGAGAGTCCCCCTCTCATCCTAGTACCTTCTAGAAACTTGCGTTTCAGCCGGCAAACCGGCAGGTGGAGTAATTTTGTGCTCATGCATATTTTGTAATTCAAACTGCATTCCCTTCTCTGATCAACCAATGCCAAGTGAGTTTTTTTTTAACATAATTTAGAAAAGACTAAGTTACAAGAATAAAATTAATTTTACCTGGCTTTGTATTCATCACCCATTGAAAATAAAGTACATGGGCTTGTAATTCCTTGTAATGAATTTTAAGACCCTTAATGAGGATAAAGATAAACCGGAAAGCCTTATCCAAGTCAGAAAAGAGCCACTTGTTCCTGCATCCAAGGGCCAGTATTCATTCAATTTATCTGTGGAAACTGTGAGCAACATATTGGGTTACAAATGCAAAAATCTCTGGTTATTTTTATTCAACTTTTGATGTATGCTCATCCTAAAAGTACTGACATGTGCATTTTTACTTAGATGCCTGAGCTGCACGACCAAACAATGGAGGAAGAGGCAGAGACCTTTGCATTCCAGGCTGAGATTGCTCAGCTTATGTCCCTGATCATCAACACTTTCTATTCCAACAAAGAGATTTTCCTTAGGGAGCTCATCTCCAACTCCTCAGATGTAAGGCTGTGGTCCTACCCTTGCTTTGTCTTTATTTGACCAAATGTCAGAATGTGAAAGTAAGGAGCTGCTTTTTTTTCTATTAAAAACTAAAAAGAGCATTTTCTGACTTCCTGCAGGCCCTGGACAAGATCCGCTATGAGAGTCTCACTGACCCCTCAAAGCTTGACTCTGGCAAGGAACTCAAAATTGAAATCAGGCCCAACAAAGAAGAACGCACCCTAACCCTGATCGACACAGGTATCGGCATGACCAAAGCTGATCTGATCAACAACCTGGGCACAATCGCCAAGTCCGGTACCAAGGCCTTTATGGAGGCTCTGCAAGCTGGAGCCGATATTTCCATGATTGGACAGTTTGGCGTGGGTTTCTACTCTGCTTACCTGGTGGCTGAGAAGGTGACAGTGATCACTAAACACAACGATGATGAGCAATATGCCTGGGAGTCCTCTGCAGGAGGCTCGTTTACAGTCAAAATCGATAACTGTAAGTAATGATGTAATTAAAGCTGTCATTTGGGTACCTGGTGTGTTTGCTGTCATGTGTGCTGACCCCTTTCTCTCCTGTGCAGCTGAACCACTGGGACGTGGCACCGTGGTGATCCTTCACTTAAAAGATGACCAGACAGAATACCTTGAGGAGAAAAGAATCAAAGAGATTGTGAAGAAGCACTCCCAGTTCATTGGCTACCCCATCACGCTCTTTGTAAGTATTTTCAATTAATACAATTCCCTCTAAGAAAAACAACATGATAAAAACGATAAGAACTAACAAACTCCTTCACCTTTCAGGTGGAGAAGGAACGTGACAAGGAGGTGAGTGATGACGAGGCAGAGGAGGAGGTAGAGAAGGAAAAGGACAAAGAGGAGGATGAAGAGAAGGATGAGGACAAACCTGAGATAGAGGATGTTGGATCTGATGAGGAGCACGACCACGACAAGTGTTCAGACAAAAAGAAGAAAAAGAAGAAGATTAAGGAGAAGTACATCGATGAGGAGGAGCTGAATAAGACCAAACCTCTGTGGACCCGCAATCCTGATGACATCACAAATGAGGAGTATGGCGAGTTTTACAAGAGTCTCACCAACGACTGGGAGGACCACCTGGCTGTCAAGGTTGGTTTTGTTTGATAACATTTCTAAATGCATCTTTGCAGGTTTAGGCATGTGTCAGTCTTATAAGAACTATAGGAACTGCTTCAAGATTTGACCAAGTTGTTCCTCTGCAGCACTTTTCAGTGGAAGGTCAGTTGGAATTCCGTGCCCTGCTCTTTGTGCCCCGCCGAGCTCCCTTCGACCTCTTTGAAAACAAAAAGAAGAAGAACAACATCAAGCTTTACGTGCGCAGGGTATTCATCATGGACAATTGTGATGAGCTCATTCCAGAGTATCTCAGTAAGTATCAAAACACCAGGTTAGCAGCTCACCCAAGCTGCTCTCGATAATGTTCAGTTTTTTTTTCTTTTGTTTTGTTTTTAGAGAAATCCAGAGACATTATTAACCAAGTTTTTCTTCCCCCTCACAGATTTCATTAGGGGAGTGGTGGACTCTGAGGATCTGCCCCTGAACATCTCCAGAGAGATGCTGCAGCAGAGCAAAATCCTCAAGGTCATCCGCAAAAACCTGGTCAAGAAGTGCCTGGAGCTGTTCACAGAGCTGTGTGAGGACAAGGACAACTACAAGAAGTACTACGAGCAGTTCTCCAAGAACATTAAGGTAGATGTCCACGTGCAAGAACTGTCAGCTGCTACTTCCTGTCGTATCAATTCACCTTCTAATTTCCTGCTGATTGGCTTAGCTTCTGAGCATATGAACTGACCACTTTAGACTGCTGGTTACATGTGGTTTATTTTCTGTTCTTTCAGCTTGGGATCCACGAGGACTCCCAGAACAGAAAGAAGCTGTCCGAGCTGCTGCGCTACTACACTTCAGCCTCTGGAGACGAGATGGTGTCCCTGAAGGACTACGTCACGCGGATGAGAGACAACCAGAAACACATCTATTACATCACAGGTACGTTGTTCAGCTTGACAATAGTTGTTTCATTTTTCTCCAAGTCATTTCAAATAAATAATTAAACAGCATATTAATGAAAATATTTCAAATTCTCAGGTGAGACCAAAGACCAGGTGGCCAACTCTGCCTTTGTTGAGCGCCTTCGTAAAGCTGGCCTGGAGGTCATTTATATGATTGAGCCCATCGATGAGTACTGTGTGCAGCAGCTGAAGGAGTTTGAGGGAAAAAACCTAGTTTCAGTGACAAAAGAAGGGTTGGAGCTGCCTGAGGATGAGGAAGAGAAGAAGAAGCAGGAGGAAAAGAAGGCTCAGTTTGAGAACCTCTGCAAGATCATGAAAGATATCCTGGAGAAGAAGGTTGAAAAGGTGAGCAGATCAAGTACTTACTAAATGTTTTATCTTTATTACTGTGTAACACAGTGGAAGAAGACATTGTTGATTTCCTGTGTCTGTCCTCAGGTCACTGTCTCCAACCGCCTGGTCTCCTCCCCCTGCTGCATTGTCACCAGCACCTACGGCTGGACAGCAAACATGGAGAGGATCATGAAGGCCCAGGCACTGAGGGATAACTCCACCATGGGATACATGGCTGCCAAGAAACATCTAGAGATCAATCCTGACCATCCCATCATGGAGACTCTGAGGCAGAAAGCAGAGGCTGACAAGAATGACAAGTCAGTGAAGGACCTGGTCATCCTTTTGTTTGAGACTGCCCTGCTGTCCTCAGGATTTACTCTGGAGGACCCACAAACACATGCCAACCGCATCTACAGGATGATCAAACTGGGTCTCGGTGAGTTTCTTTTGTATTTTCAGATCCACTGTAGTAAATGCATCCAGCACACATGAATATGCATGGTGGCAGACGGAGCACATCCCTGGCTATATTGGCTAAATGGCTTCTTTTACTTTTCCAGGAATTGATGAAGATGACATGACGACAGATGACACCACAGCTGCTCCCACGGAGGACATGCCTCCTCTAGAAGGGGACGATGATGACACCTCCAGGATGGAGGAAGTGGACTAAGCCTGCTCCCATTCACCTGTTAATGTTCAGAAGTTTATTGTACAGTTCAAAGTTAAATGTTGGGAATGAGCTTGGAATGTTTCTCCTAAAATATACTTTTTGACCAAGTTTTGTTAATTGACAACACCATTCCTTTGTAGAGCTAATTATTTTTTTCTTTTTGAGTTGCCCCACTTCTCTTTTGTATTTATTGATGTTCCAAAATGTCTGTTCTGTAACTGTAAATATCAAAGTTGATTCTGTCATTTTGAACAGAGACACAGAAATAAATGGTTAAACAATTTACATTTGTTTTATTTTCCTCTACATTTACACTTAATTGTGATTTCAGTTTGAGACAGCTGAGCCATCTGTGACTCCCCACCAACTTCTCAGTGTCAGTGACAATACAAATATTCATAGTAATTTCCTTGAATGTAGATTTGGATATTGCTTACTTAAAGAGAATTTGAACAGGCTTAGACCATTACCAAATAAGTCCAGTAGATGGTAGCAGTTCCTCCACCAATGAGGATACTTAGGGATGTACAAGGGTTTAACATATTAGGGTGATTAGCGACTAAGACCGATACATAGATCTAACAGTAGCAAGTTGCAACCAAAGAGACAAAAGGAACTCTTTAAATGTCTACATACTTAAGCACGATCTTTTGTATTGGTTGTTTGCAATGTCAAATATTCATATGATGAAGCCAACAGAGATTTTTCTTTAATATTGCACTCATACACATCCTTCATCATTGCAGTTCTGTAGTCAATTAAAATCAGTGAATTGACATAAGTGGGAGCCATTAACAAATTTAGAAAACTGAGGCGATGCCAGTTCACCCAGTTTCCTCCCTGCTGTCTGATGTCTTGTAGTAGCTATGCTGCCACCAGCAGGGAGCTCCCAAAACCCTTTGCATGGGACGCTCTGGTCAGCTGATAGACATCAGCCAATCACGTCGTGAGAACAGGCTGAACCGCCCTGCAGTGTGGTGCCCTGAGAGTTGTCAAGGTTTTGGTTGTGGACTATCCGAAAAGGGAGCAAGGGCGGCCACGGTTGTAAAATGCCAAATAAACCGAAAAAAGATAAGGTGAGTTTGAAAAAAAACTATTAAGGTGTTGTGAGGGTGTGAAATTAACTTTGCATTTGGTGTATACCAGTGCGTTCATCGATAAACCGGGTGCGACCAGCGCAGTGTCCCATCGTTTTACGTTAGCCAAGCAGCAATCATTACAAGCTAGCCGCTATCCTGCCAATTTGTTAGCACTAGGTACGCCTTGCTGTCTTATCTGAATGCAGTACCGTCAACTTAAAGCAAGGCAACGCACTTCAAATGCACCTGCTTCTGCAGGTGTAATGTTTATTTATTTGAGAGTAAAAAACAGGGTGATTTTATGTATACAAACTAAAATTGTTTTCAGTCATAGTGAGGGTGAAGTAAGGTTAGCTAGCAAAGAACGGAATTCATGTGTTAATGACCGATTTGAAGCATTCATGAGCAGGGTATTCTATTTTATCATGGTACGATTCTCTCAATGTCTGCTCACTGTTGTTGTCGACATACTCTTTAATTCGTCTTGTGCTAACAAACTTTCCTTTGTAGGAGTCAAAGTCTGGTAAGGTGAGCAAGGGTGGAGGACAGGAAAATTCAGAGCATGAGGTAAGGAAAATCTGAAGTGTTCCTCGCTCTTAGGAGGTATTGACACCTTTGGTAATTAACTGTCTCTGTATAAAGACGTGAAAAGACAATCTGTGAAATAATGCAAAGGGGCACAAGAATAACAAAGGGAGTGCTCAAGGCAGTAAATGCTTGGGGAAAGAAAAGGGTAAATGATGACAAAAAATATAGTCTTGTCTACAGTAGTTGGACAACTCTTGGCAGGTTTGAGATCTCACAATGATTTTCAGGATTTTTAGTTCGTGTGATGACTGGATAGTTCACTGAATGTAAATTTAGTTGCACCTGATCACAATCATCTGAGAGCACCATAATGTAGACTTGTTTGTTGCTTTTAGGTGGATGTAAATGAGTTCATCAACTCATCTATTAAGTTTAGACTGTTGACTGTTATATCTACAACATCTGACTTCTGTTTTAAACATTACCTTAAAAGCCATAGTGTTGATACATATTCAAAAAGCACTTAGCTCGCACCCCCTGCACATACTTTGGGGTGCGCCATAAATCAAATTAAAATGGACATATGGACTTTCTTTTGACTTTTAGCTTACATCTGGATTGGGTTACATCTGGGCATAAATTCCTTTGGCCCAAATTTAATCAAATTGCATCGAATCAGCTCTAAGCAGACATCTGGTGTGGATCATTATGTCACACTGCGAAATACATGCAAACCACATCAGTAAAAGAGGAAAAACATACGAGTCATTGGCCCAAGTTCATAATGGTTAACACAGAAATCGATAGTCTGAAGGCACCTGTTAGGTGAGGGTGGGATGGGTGTGGAGGATCGAAAACATCAGGATCATCCTTTGCCATCAAAAGTTTGTTTTTTCAAAACACCTTTATACACTAGTGTAGGGCTGGTGTTAGATCTGATAAAGGTTTGGTGATCTTGGTCATATTCTTGTTTTTCTAAATTAAAACCACTAAATTAAAAACCCACAAATGTGGCAGTCAATTTGATGGTATCAAAACTCTGAAATACTCCCCTACACCAATGATACCCTCACACATATGATTATGCATTATCCATGCCATGGATACTGTCAGATCTTCCCTGATAACAGATTGAATGGATTTTCTCAGCTTTGGCCCGTTGAACCAGATGTTGTTGTTTTTTTCCCAAGATCAGCTGTTTTTCATCCACTTTGTTAATTTTTCTGCACAGGAACGATATATGGTTTCCTCTTTGTGCAATACAACAACCAGATTCACATATCTAGATACAGTAGTTTAGGTCTGCGCCTTTTATATCCAACTCTGACACCCTCACCTGTCACCAATATTAATCTGCCGGTTGTAGAATCCACCAAAATGCGGAATGTACTATCAGAGCACAGACGTTTATTCATCTGGCGTTCTAGCATCATATTTTCGATCCAATGAAATTTGTCAGTCAGATTAAACAGAGAATCGTTTCTCCAACCTTTTTCTGGAAATGTGTTTAGTTTCTCACGTATTTAAGAACAGGCTGTCTTCTTTGAATGTCTCTTAAATGTATTCCATGTAAAACATACATAATTTAATCTTTGGCCAAATGCTAATGCTTCATCAATAATTTAGATAGGTGGTTCTCTTCTGCTCTCTCACTGGAAAGAAAAATGTCAAGCCAGCAGCCTCAGAACACTGTGAGAGGTGTGCTGCGATGTGAAGACAAGCGGCATAAACGCAGAGGTCGAAAGTTGAATTCGAACATTTGAAAATAATAGACAACAGATGTTTTTAGATTCCTCTTTCTAAGAATGGATCGTCGAATATATAATAGATAATTCATGTAATGTGGTTCACAGCAGAGGTTCTCATGTCTGCCAGACTTTTTTTTTTTTTAAGGTGTGAGGGAGGCTGAAACGGTTCACAGCCTTAAAGGCCCGAGTCAGCTCTGCCCCCAGGATGTGCTGGTGAATGGATGTGTTGCAACAGCACGATTAGTATCAACCTTACTAATCCCTCTTTTTTTATGACCTTGATTAGATTCACAGCTGGTTGGCATGATGAACAGAGTTGTCTGTACAGTGAGCAGATCGTGCTTTATCATCTCAGGGAATCCAAATGCAGAATGAGCGGCGACATGCTGTTTCTAATTAAATGTGGAGCTTCACTAATGACATTTCATGTTGTTCCTGAAGAGCTTTCACTCTGTCCACCTCCGGTTAGCATGTGTTTGCTCCAAGTGTGGCGCAACTAACGGCCCTTTTTCTCATTTCAACAGAGCTCCAACAGGAAGACAAGTAACAGCGTTCCTCCCACCACTCAGCTGCTAAAGGGGAAGCAGCCAGGTTCTCAGACACCTGTGAAAAAGGACAAGAGGCAGAGCTCCTCTCGCTTCAGCTTGAGCAACAACAGGGAGCTGCAGAAGCTGCCTCCTTTCAAAGGTATTTCGATGCACGGCAACCCCGAGAATCCTTTGGCCAACTCACTCTATGGGCCAACTGCTCGGCACGCTGGGTTCTATAGCTGTTGCACACACATGCAGATGGCATCCTGGGAGGGTTTGCACATAGTTCCGGAAATATAAGGCAAATGAAAAAGCTTTAATTCCTCAGTTCAATCATGGGGGGTGGGGATTTTAGCCTGGCAGGTGGGTGAAATTCACTGCCTTTCTGTGCTATAATTAGTAATTGATCCCTCTAACCTTTTGCAAAGAGTACAGGCCTCAAACATGTTTACATGCAAGCCTGTTTACTCACCCTTCCCCTCCGACACGTCTGTGAACATCCCTCGCCGCGTCACCCTCATTATGATCCTAAGCCGAACATGAGGTTATGCAATACGTGGAAGCAAAGAGAGGACATACATGCCATGGATTTTGAGCTGGATTTAACCCAAGTGTCTATATTTAGTTGTAATCCAGAGATAAAGCTTTAATGCCACAGTCCCTGTTTCACAATGTTGGCACTGACCAGATTAAAAAAGAAAAAGAAAAAAAAGCCTGGTATTTAACCACTCCTTTTTTTATCTGTCTTTCCCCCTGAACTCCATAAAAGTGTGTTTTGGTATTTACTGTTGTCTAAGCTCAATGCCAGCATGTCAGCAGATGGAAAGGCGAGTAGTGGACACTGCCTTTAGGCCTGCGGGCATAATTCTGTTCCTGCACGCATGAATACACACAACAGTTCCCCTGATTTTTTTTTTTTCCAAAGCAGTGATAGCTTTATGGGACTGTTATAACCAGAGCTGTTCATGCTGATAAGTACGATTAACTAGCGCGCCTGTGTATAAGCCCGTTTGCACAGCTAATGGCATTGTGCTGTGCAGTTTGTCTCGCGATTGTCAATGTTGCACACAGTGCAACAGTGTTGCAGCAAGTGGCGTGGAAGCAGCAGAACTTCAGGCACATCGGCTCACCAGTTTACGGGGATAGATCGTCCCGTGAGTCGGAAAGGATACATTTAGGAACAGACTTTTCTATAGAGACGCTTGGCTTTTTGCTACTGAAGTGAATTGGTAGCAGTTTTGGCTGGTTTAATCTCAATATTTGTGTGACACACATTTGACACACTGTGTGTAGCATCAAATGTAGCATTTCTTTCAAAGTAAGAATTTTTCTGAGTGCCAGCCTGCACAGAAGCTGCAGCTGTTACGTTTATCATGCACTGTTCATTGTTAATCTTTGAGTAGTCTTTGCATTCACACACACAGAAAAAAAAAGTTTTATGCCTTTCATCATGTGCCGTGTCAAGAAACCGATAGAACTTAATCTCTGATAAGTTGCTCACTTCTCACAGCCCAGTATGAGCTCCAGTAACACAAATCGTTATTCCACAGTGGCCAGCTAGATGTTATTACTTGGTCCTGTCCAAACGGGCTCCTCGCTTGGCCTGTTTTCATTCCAGGCATGTTCAGCACCTCCTGATTGAAACGCATGTCCGTGAGGCCGTCCTGCAGAGCCCAAAAGTTGAGGCGAGACTAAAAAGCCTGACCAAGAGCAGCCCGTTCATTTCCCGTTATCATTTCACAAGAGTAAAAACTCGTTTAACTCATTATTTGTTAAACACCGTCTGCAATCTGAGGTAAATGTGCTTTTCTGTTCTGCCCCCCCCCCCCCTTCTTTTTCCCCTCCCCCCCCCTCACCCCCACAAGAGCACGACCACCACAGTTGTCGCCCCTGTGTGGGTTCTGTTTTCAAGCCGGAGCCTTTAACAGGCTCAGAGTGGGTGTCTCACAGGGTGTACTGCCATCTGCTGGGGAAAGCAGGCCACGTCAGGCCAGACACAAACCTTTAACAGTTGGAATTTAGATAAGTCCAAGCTGCAAGTGAAAGGACTGTGAGGTGTTATGTAATGCAAGTTTTAAAAGATCACGGCTTCATGAATGAAGTGGTGGAAACACCAACCCAACCGTCTGTTAGACACTTTTGGACAGGCTGAAGCAAATCAAGAGTCAAGACTTTCCTTCTTTTTTTGACTGGCATATGAGGGTAAATGCGTCAGAAGAGTTTGACGCCGATGCTCCTACGTAGGCAGCAGGCAGATAGGTGGAGGGTGTCAGCATGGCAGCTGGTTTCAGTTAACCTCTGAAGAGGGTTATTTTTAGCTTCAGCATCAGTCCGCTGCTGTATGATTGAACGATCCCAGTGTGTCCTCCGTTTCCTGTCTCGCCGTTTAAGAGGCGGCGTGGAGATTGCTCACCACCAGCAGACTGCTGACGAGCTTAGGTAATCCTTTGGGACGAGAACACTCGGGGTTAAACCCATGGTCCTAAAGTTTGGGGGGACCTTTGATGAGAGAAAAATCCACTGACGAGAAGCTCTCAGCTGTCATTGTCCTGTAGACCATCCGAATGGGATCAGTGCTCTTTTAAGCCCAACGCCAGACAGAAAAGCAGTGGCCTGGAGCAGTGAAAAAAGATCAACATGCCATACCGCCAAGCTGATTATGAACTGACATTTTGGCATCATGTCAACTGCACAGAGTTTCAGTGTCGGCCATCAATGGTTAATTCTTTGCGTTTCGACACGGCTCCAGTTTTAGTGCTACACATTGTAACTCCTGTGTTCCTGAAGATGTCCACAGTGTGTGTGCAGTCATGTGCTTCAATCTAGGATTAAAAAAAGACTTCCCAGGGAACACAATGCTGCGTTTTTTTTTAGTTTGGCGGGTGAAGTTTGGACCAACAGAGTCGTCTTTATTGACGGTGCTAAAAATACTTCTGTTAATCTCATCGGTAGTGCTAAAGATGAGTTAGATGAGCTGTCAATTTTGGATATTTGCTGGTGAGATTTTCCAACATAACGCAGCCAAGTAAGTCTCCAGCGTGACCTCTGAAGTCTCCTTTGTTGGACTTGCGGTGGGGTGAGTGGATAAATGGGAATCTGCCCAGTGGCAGAGGCTGTTTTCTCCTCCCCTAAATAGATCTGAGCCCCAAGCGTTCGCAGATGATCGTGACATTGATGATCAGCAGACCTGTAAATGACCCACTTATCTGCATATCTCAGGCCTTTCCGAACGCCGTCAGTGATGGACTAAAGCAAGAGCAGAGAGCCATCCTGAACAGGCTGGTCAGGGCCTCAAAAGTCCCCTCACTCACCACAGCCAGAAATAGCCCTGCCGCAGAGAGGAAGGCTGAAATCTGATTAATTTGTTTGCAGAAGGAGTGTTTGGAGAGGCCGGTTTCATGTCGTCTTTGTTAGAGACCACATCTTTACAAGAGAGGTTACCTCATGACCGGGGAGCAGAGTGTTACAAAGCAGCGCGCCGTAATGCTGGAATAATCACGATGTCCCCTGTAGAGGCCCCCGAACTAAACATTTTTCTTTTTTAAAACAGAAAAAAAAAGCCTTTCTGATAACCGGTGTAGCACAATCTATGTTGGCAGTCCCTGAAACCTATGAGGGTTTAAATGCGCACTTCCCCACCCTAACCCATCTCAGGCAGCATGGGAGGAGAAGTCGGAACCCACGGGGAGGATCTGGAACACACTGTCATGGGCCACTAACACTTGTGGCTTTTTGAAAACTCCGGCCAGGGAAAGCTTCCGTATGATTGTGTGAATGTTTCCTTTTATTTATGTATTTTTTCATCAAAGCTGTGTTTGATCTGTATTAACATGCACAATTTGCAACTTTACTGTTACTCTCCTTTTTTGGACCAAAAAACGAAAAAGCAACAGATCTGAGCGGCTCTCTAAAAAAAGCTCCTCTCACTGACTTAAGTAGATGCAACATGATGGACACAGGTATTTATGGCAGGGTGTGGGTGAATCCAAAGGGCGAACCTGGGCCGCCAGTTAAGATTTAATGTGCTTAACTGCCCGGGATTCTCAGCCTCATTTGGAATGGTAAACATTCAAAGTCTACTCCCTCTTCATCTCTGCCGAGGAACTGCAGACATGATGGAAAAGACATTTCGGTACAGAAAAGAAACTTCAGGATATCGCATTTCGTAGAACACGGTTTACATTTCCAAAGGAGCGCTTGTGCAGCAGATGTGTGTCTGAGCAGCTGTTGTGCAGTTTCTGCCTAAAGCCCGCAGGATGACACCTGTGGTGGACAGAGGCAGCGTCGGGGGCATGGTGTGGGCTCACACCCTCCACTGTCCCGTCAGGGCTGCGTTTGCAGACATCACCTCGCCCAGTTGCTCGGGGCACTTTTGCGGCAGTGGCCAGCGCGCCTCAGCGCGGGCCTGCCCGTTTCCCGCTCAGCCTCATGGCGCAGCGGGCCAAACCTCCGCTCTGCAGAGTGCAGCTATCTGCAATTTCACTTCCTGTGCAGCTCGCATCGAGACTTCCTGCCTTCCTGTTTCTCAGTGGTGCTACACCTGGGCTCAGGCTGTGCTCTTCAGAGCCATCTGGCACGCAAAAACAGACGCGCACACACACACACACACACACACACAAAGACAACAATCCACCTGGAGAAAAGGATCTTAGTTAGCAGCAAATACGCAGATGAGCTGTTTTTTTGTTTTTTTTAATGAGGCAGAACACATTAAGCCTAGATTACTTCTTGGTGTGACCACTGCTGAGGTCTTTCAGGTTTTTAGTTGTTGAATTAGCATCCTGATACTTACAGTCACTTTTTCTTTGTTGCCTTCAGTTGGACAGGAACATTTTTTATTATTTAACCTGTGCTGTGGTTTTTTGACTATATGCTGGATAATCTGGGGCATTTCCCAGTATTAATCTCTTTGTTTTATATTACAAAATAAGCCAACCTGTAATCTGTGCTTTGACTTTTAAAACGCTGGACAGATGTAGCTGCTTTTGACCCAATCACAATACCCCCCCCCCCTTTCCCTTCAGTCCACCACCAATCCCTTCCCTCCTGTTTGTTTATACTGACGTCCCGCCCATGTGATTGAGGCCAGCCAATCCGGCGGCTGCAGTGGGGGATGACATCACTAACTAGCTGGTTCCTTCCAGCAGCAGGGGAGCTTCATTTTCTGCTCAGTGTTCGTGCTAAAATGGAGGCTGGCTCCTCTCCTTAGCCTGGGCTGAACTCCTCTCCCCTGCCTTCTGCCGCGGATCGCTGATGTTGGCATGTACTAATCCTGCCAGCGGGATGGTTCTGGAAGCACCGAGCTGTAACGGGCCTTTCCAGCCCGTGGCCCTGATGCATTTCAGAGGTGAGAGTAGGAAATCTGCCTCCTCTGCTTGGCAAAAAATGTTGTCATTCAGCTGTTGCTTGTGCTGTTAACTGGAATTCTCACCACCAACGATAACCCACGAACGGAGAGCAGCTTTCTATCGTTTGTGAGTCTTTATCAGCTGTTGGCCGGAGAGCGTGTGGAGGGGGAAGCGGCAGATTGTGCGTGTCAGGAAACCTTCTTGCCAAGACGGTGCAAAGCTCACGCCAGTCAAGGCGGGAGGATGATGAGTGAGGAGAAAAAGAAAGTGTTAGTTTTGTGTCTCCCCTCCCCCATCTTTCCTATAGATGTCATATGTAGGAAGTGAGATGAAAGCTTGCTGTGGGCTGGTGTCTGTCCGTGTTGTGAAGCGTGTGGGGATTGGTTGTAATTAGCAGTGTTAGGTCTCTATGCAGTCCACTCTTCTTCCCTTGCCCCTACTAAGGTCAATGGTAAGCACTTTGCCCCGTCCCCCACACAGGAGATTTGAACTGAGATGTGCACTTTGGGGCAGTTGGTCTTGATGACCTGCTTCATTCGTGCAAGATGGAGCCTTCTGAAGAGTAAAGGTTATGTTTCTGTCCGCGTACTGCTCGCGTGTGAAGTTCGCCTTCGCACAGCACGTCTCTTAATATTTTAGGCTCGCTCAGAAACTCTAGTGCTGTTGTGTAACGGGAGCTGCTGGACCTGTTGGCTCCGGGTGCGAGCGGGATACGTTGCTCACAGTGCCATGTTTCTGGCTAATGAGCACAAAATCTTAAGAGACAGATGTCCCAGGCCCCAAATGGCTCGCTGTGACTTCATTAAGTTTGGGGGGGTAAAGTTTATTCTGTTATTAGATTTTTTAATCAAAAGTTTCAGCTCATCCTTCTCCTTAGAGATAAACTGATAAACTTAGAGATAAATACTAAACAGATTCCTGAAAGTTTTTGTTATGTTTTCTGTTTTCACTCCATAAACAAAAGGGGGAAAAATGATAATGACAAGAAGAAAAATAAATCTCGCCAGCCAATCCTCGGTACACCTCTCAGGACCACAGGTTTTAGCCAGCACTGACGGTTGGAAAGACGTCTCAGAATATTTTTTCACGCATCAGGGACAGAGGCTGCTCCTTCTCGCTCCTCTCTGTAAAAACAATTTATATCAGCCAAGCTAAACTGAACAAAGCCGAATGAACTGAGAAGTGTTGTGCAGTTTCTGCTTTCTATCCATCAACGTGGTACAAACCTCCTTGCAGCTCCTCTGTTCCTGCGTCACTCCTCTGACGATAAGTGGTCAATCACGGGTCACAGTTGGAGCTGTTCTTAATGTTGTTACTGAGCTCTAACATTGACATTTAAGAGTTTTCTTTTTAAGCTGGAAACTGCCGCTTGTTGGAAAGCATGACAAATTGCAAGCAAATGCTTCAATCCGTCCCACATAAACACAGGACAGAAACATAAGACAGACGAAGCTTGTGGTTTTTCCACACAGGCGTTTGCCAAAGCCCAGAGGTGAGGCAGATTCCCAGCATTCTGTCCTACGATGTGCTCAGCTGGATCATGTTTGTCACCGCTTGTCTTGTCACAACTCTGAGTGTTTTGCCCTCTGCCGAGTTGTTCTCTCAAGCTGTCATCCTTTTAAAACAAACAGATCCCCTCTGAGGGCTGCACACAGGCAAGTTTTCTGGCACTTTAGGAAAAGTCGTAAATCCTCTTTAAACTGGCGACACAAAGCAAATGTTTATCCATTTTAAAAACCAATCCATGAATGATTTGCAAAAAAAGGGGAACATTTTCTTCTCATGTTGCCAGTTGATTAAAGCTGTGAATCATTCTTTTCTTTTCTATTCTTTCATTTCTTTTCCCCGGCTATTCGTCCCCCCCCCCCTTCTTCTGACGTCTTCTCGTCTAGAGCAGCCTTTATATAGTGTTGGGTACCTGGAGATCTCAGTGAGTGGAAACAGTGGGTCTGGCTTTGTTGAACACAGCTGAACATCAGTTGAAAGAATAATTGATTAAGAATGTTGCGGTAAGCCAAAGATGTGCGGGAGTCCAGAGGGTTGGACTTCATGGGGACTCGGTGTGCTTGTCCCTGTTAAACCAACCGAAGGGAGAAATTGTTCATCCCTTTGCAGCCCTGCAGAATCGGTACAAAATCAGGAGCAGAAAGCCCACGTGTGTGTCCTGTCGGTGGCCGTCACCTCTGGTCCAAAGTCCTGCCTGTGCCTGTGGTTGCCATGGCGATGCCTGATGGGCATAAATGGGGGGCTCCAAGGGGGCCATACCCTGTACCTCACAGATTTATGAGCCCCTTTGGTAGCCAGCTAACCACATTACGGCTGGTTTTGTGGTTCAGGTCCAGTTGGGGTTAAAGGTTTTGTTAAGCTGACATTGAGTTCACTACGCTCTGTCTGCTGTTTCCCCGAAAAATGCTGCACACCAGCTGCAGTCTGCACAAAGGCCGTGCTTCCCAAGCACTGACGGCAGCCGGTAGGATGGGGCACTTTTCAGCTACTTTGAAAGGCTCTCCACTGCCTGCAGCATCTGCATCAGGTTCCTTTTTTCAAGCTTTCAAAACCTCACATGGCCTGGTGACTTGTTTATGAGCAGAGGGTTTGATGGATGCTCTGGGAAAGCCTGTTAGGACCCCCAAGAAAAGACTTGAAACGGTTCCAAAGTGCAGCGCTAAAAGCTTCCCTTCTGACTCTAGGCCTTTCTAGTAATCGCCCAGTTAAAAAAAATCCTGGTTCTTGGCATATTCTTCTGTTTAAATTTAACTGAGTAAATTTGAACCACATCATGTTTGATATTTTTTCTCCCTTATAAACGTTGCTGCAAAGTCTTTTTGAAGGAAGTTTATTTTCATAGATGAACCTGGAAGTTAATTATGACACGCAGACAGGTGTGGCTCCATATCCCCCAGGGCTGCTTTACAGCTTCTGCATCATTGATGCAGTGGTGATGGCCCAGCCTTTGAAATGCTAAGCCATTGATTTAGCATTTACATTTGAATTTTGGTAATGATTACCATGGCAGCATGCAAGTCATTACCCTCTCAACTGCAGCAGAGATCAAAGAGGATGTGCTTTATTTTGGCTCCCACCTGACAGGAAATGTGCCAACAAGTTTGATAATCCAGTCAATAGATTGCGCACACATATTACCTTCCTTTATTTATGACAGCGAGCGCTTTAACTGTGGATTTCTGCAGTCCTTCTGGGGTCATGGGGACATAATGATGGCAGACCTGTTAATTACAGCCCTTCCATGCCTTTTCCCAGACGTCCCCCCTGCAGAGCAGGAGAAGCTGTTCATCCAGAAGCTGCGCCAGTGCTGCGTCCTCTTCGACTTCGTCTCCGACCCGCTGAGCGACCTGAAATGGAAAGAAGTGAAGCGAGCAGCGCTCAGCGAGATGGTGGAGTACATCACCCACAACCGGAATGTCATCACCGAACCCATCTACCCAGAGGTGGTCCACATGGTCAGTGTCCAGAGGGGCTCTGCTGGTCCCGAGCTCAGAAACGTTCTCTGAGGAGCAGAGCTGGCTTCAGCTCCTGGGAAGTTAATTCACACTAGTTCCCTTTGGTTGATATCCTGTAAGAGGTGATATTTCAGTAGTTTTTAGATACAAGTGACAATGGCAAAAAATTGAAAGTAGTAGTCAGCTTGATAGTTTTATTTATTACATTTTTGGGGGAGTATTTGAAACCATGCTGTGCAGTGAACAGATAGCTGGTGGAGGGACATTTAAACTTTTTTTTTTTTTGTCGCGTTGAGGGTCTCCTGTGGATTGTGCAGATAATCCTGTAAATAAACTGTTGAGCTTAATGTGAAAAGAGCTTGAGATCAACATTACTTTTAAGATTTCAGATGTTTGAGAGTCCATGTTGCATTTTGTTGCTTCTCTCAGAGGCCTTGACTAGCAAAGTGATACAGCTTGTCTCGTTTTCAAATGGCAAGCTTTGAGCATCACTGATCTCAGTTTGAAATGTAGCATAAGCCCAAATCAGAGTTCAAAGGTTTTGTTAAGCCATTCATTGATCAGATGTAGTGTTTTACATCGATTCTGGGATATTTGCGTGAAGGTTTTGACTCAGGGTCCTGTCTGTTGTAGAAACGCGCCCCCTCGAAGGTCGTGGTTTGCTCACGTGGCCAGATTTGTTCTTCCCAAGCAAAATGTGCCAAGCCTTTGATGTTAATCAAAGGGCCAGCGCTCGTCAACTGCAGACCATCAAGGTGCAAATTTCTCCTCCGTCCTCCTTGTTGAGGTTCCATTTGATCAGCGTTGCACAAAATGCTACCGAGCTGCCAAATCAGCATGAAAATGTGCCCTTTTTTCCCCCGGCAGTCCTTTCTCTGACCCCCTTAAGGACAAGGAGGCTTTGAAGCCCGCTAATGGCTTTTTATCATCAAAGTGCAGAGACTGACACGACAAACTCCTCTTTGACGGAAAGAAGAGTATTCTCATGTTAACGCTGCAGCTTTCTCCTGCGTTGTGAAGCAAACACTTGGGTGACACGACAGTTTCTGTTCCATTAGCCTCAGTTTGGAGGGGGGGCATACACACAAATGTGCTGTGATTTCTTACTAACCAGAGGCTGATTAAGGGATTCTTTCGACTAAACATTGGAAAGACCTGGCAGTTAGTTAAATATGGTTAGTCTTTATTTGGAACCTTTTATGGGGGTTGTTGTGGTTTAGGATTGTCAGAAGTGATTTCTGGGCTGCTAAGTGATACTTCATTTAATATTTACATACACTGTACACATGGGAAGCTCTGCTGTGTTGTTTTCTTTTGTTTATTCAATCAAAATGGAAAAACTTAAAGATGCCAGAGTTTGAGGATGTTGTGGGGATTTTTTTTGTCAGATAACCATGACATTTTTGCATTGTGGAAACTTAATGTGAGATTGTTTTAAACAAAATGCCGAACCCTAAGAGCAAATGCACTGTTACTAGCCGAACCCTGGCCTTTAGGAGTGAAAGGAGAGGCTAGACAGACGCCTGCCCACAGATTATTGATTTACTCATCGTTTTCTCTAGATCAGACGGGGTTTCGGAAAGCTGTGCTCTCTGTTCAGTCTCTCAGAAGTGGGAGATTATTTAAAAGACATTTCAAAACAGTACGTCATGGCAAATGATCGTTTTCTGCTTGAGCTAAGTATGGTTGTTCCATTGGTCCCCCCAGTTTGCCGTGAATATGTTCAGGACTTTGCCGCCATCATCCAACCCCACCGGCGCAGAGTTTGACCCGGAGGAGGACGAGCCCACGCTAGAGGCGGCATGGCCACACCTGCAGGTACACAGAGCACACACAGCCAAACAGCCTTTGGCCTCCCATCCCCTCACGCCCCGCTCTAAAGACTTGGCTCTCCTCCACAGCTCGTGTATGAATACTTCCTGAGGTTCTTGGAGTCGCCTGACTTTCAGCCCAATGTTGCCAAAAAGTACATCGACCAGAAGTTTGTAATGCAGGTGAGCCACGGAGGCTGAGCTTATGAAAAGAGGTCCCCCCCTCCCCTTTAACCCTAACATTGTTTGTGTTCTCAGCTCTTAGATCTGTTTGATAGTGAGGACCCCAGAGAAAGAGATTTTTTAAAGACCACTCTGCATCGCATCTACGGCAAGTTCCTGGGGCTGCGAGCATACATTAGGAAGCAGATTAATAACATATTTTATACGTGAGTAACTTCTAGTTTCACTCTGAGCTCTTGTTTTGCTTGTTTGTTTTTGTCCATGCACAGCTTAAAAGTGTTCTCTTTTTTTCTTCAGCTTCATTTATGAGACAGAGCATCATAACGGAATAGCAGAATTACTGGAAATTCTGGGCAGGTAAGATGTTTCTCTTGTTGTTGTGCTGTTTCTCATTTGCAAGCGGCCTCTCACGGACGATACCACTGGTGTGTTTTCGTTAATAGTAACCTCTCCCCTCACAGCATAATCAACGGATTTGCTTTGCCACTGAAGGAAGAACACAAAATCTTCCTCCTGAAAGTCCTGCTGCCTTTGCACAAAGTCAAGTCTCTGAGCGTGTATCACCCACAGGTACATGAGCAAAACAACAGCTTCAGTCTTTTAGGATAAAGGCGCTACAAGGTGAACCAAATCCTGCTTTTCTTTTTATCAGCTGGCCTACTGTGTGGTACAATTCTTGGAGAAGGACAGCACCCTCACAGAACCGGTAAGATCCCTCACCTTTTCTCCCCTTCCATGTATAGAAAGAGCATCCTGCCCGCTGAAGAGGAGCTGACCCTGACGCGACCCAAAGAAATCTTAATGTTTGAAGAGAATGTTGTGGTTGGCAGTTTCCCCTCGTTTGAATATGTCAACAAGTCTGCAATAGTCTGTTGTGAGAGCAGGAAATGGAGATGGAGCACAAAAAGAGAAGCGTAGGAAATCCGTTAGCTTTCTACCACAGAAGATTTCAGATGACTTCGAGTGACAGGAAGAAAGGAAATTACCTTGATTTCACAGAGAAAGATCAAACACTCTGGTTTAGTTTCTGAGTAGGATGGCCACAGTTGATCCGTTTGCTCATGGATCTGGTTTTCTGTCCTCTGATCGACCATGAACATTTTAACTTTATGAATCCCTGTGTGCTCACCGTGTGTTTCTGCAGACTGTTATGGCTTTGTTGAAGTATTGGCCCAAGACCCACAGTCCGAAGGAGGTGATGTTCCTCAACGAGCTGGAGGAGATCCTGGACGTCATCGAGCCTTCAGAGTTCGTCAAAGTCACAGAGCCCCTCTTCCGACAGCTGGCCAAGTGTGTGTCCAGCCCACACTTCCAGGTCTGCTTCCCGCCCCTGCTAACTCGGTGTGCTTTGGTCGCTCTTGTCCTGTCCGTTGCTCACATGTATCTGTGCCGTCAGGTGGCCGAGCGGGCTCTGTACTACTGGAACAACGAGTACATTATGAGCCTGATCAGTGACAATGCTGCCAAGATCCTGCCCATCATGTTTCCAGCCCTCTACCGCAACTCCAAGACCCACTGGAACAAGTGAGTCTTTCCCGAGCCATGACTGCTCGGCTTTAAGCTGCCAAAACAATGGGCAGACGGGAATACGCATTTGTTTTGCAGGACAATCCACGGTTTGATCTACAACGCTTTGAAACTCTTCATGGAGATGAACCAGAAGCTGTTCGATGACTGCACCCAACAGTTCAGGGCCGAGAAGAGCAAGTAAGTCATGAAATCAGGCGTCCTAGCTGCTGAGAACAGGGCTTCAGCCTCCTCAGAGGTGTTCAGCCAGCCACTTACTCTGCAAACGCTTTGTGTCTCTTAGAGAGAAGGTCAAATGGAAAGAGCGAGAAGAAGCCTGGGTGAAGATTGAGAATCTCGCCAAATCGAACCCGCAGGTGAGCTAAAGTAGCGCTGCACAGCTCTCACCGGTGGATGCTGCAACTCCGATCTCAAAGCTGAGTCATCCTAACATGGATCCCGTTTCCTTTCCACTGCGTAGTTCCTGATGCACACGGACTACTTGGGATCGGGCGGTCTGATGGACATGGAGACAGATGGGCCATCGCTAGACGACGTCGGCTTGCTGAAGAAAACGGTAGAGGAAGAAGCCACACAGGTGAGCAAGCAGTGAAGAAAAGGATGCGTCTGATCGGGGATGAAGCCACTGCTCACACAAACACAAATCAGCAGACACACACACAAAAAGGTTGAACCAAAAGAAAAACGATCAGACATGTAGTATAATCCACAAATGTTCCATGAAAACCAAATGAAATACGATTAATTGGATGAAGTTGTTGTGTTCTACCAACCAATCAGGAAAATGTGGGCTTTAATAATATACTTTATAAAATCTTATTCTCACAGACTCTGGTCATGTAATAAAAAAATAAGCATCCTATCTGCATCTAGAACCCAAAATGAAAGAGGAAAAAAGCTTTTTGTGTGCGCCACCATATTTCTCTGCAAGGTTTTCTGCATTTTGATGCTTCTGGAGGTTTTTTAGCTTCTATTTTTGGCCGCTATCGTGCTGAAAATGCGCACCGCACTTTGGGACGGGCGTCTGCTTGTGTGACCGATCCCTGTGTTTCTGTGCACAGATCCAAAAAGACCAGCGGAGGGAACGGCCGCTGGTGAGGAGGAAATCGGAGCTTCCCAAAGACATCTCCACCGTCACGGCGCTGGAGCTGCACCGAAGAGCTGAGGAAATGTTGACCACGCACGACGCCCACTAGAGAGGACGGCCTCCTCCCCGAGATCCAGCGTCAACCAGCACCCGCAGAGGAACCACCGGCCCGCCGAGGCCCAGCACAACAGCACCACTCCGGCATCTGAGTCCAGCCCAGCACAACGCAGAGCAGAGCAGAGCAGAGCGTGGCCCTGCTCGCTCTGCTCCACCAACACATTCACCTTCTCGCCCAATTTAGCCCAGGAACACTTCTTCTCCTCCTCTTCCCTCCAGTCGCTGTCTTTCCCCCCCCCCTCTCTCGCTGTGTTTTTTGGGGCACGGTGCTGCCCCCTTCTGGTCATTCTTCTCAGGTGTTCTCTGTTCTTCTTGCCTCTTCTCTATCGATGTCAGGTGCTCGCACCAGTTTGAGCCCCCAGCTGTAACCTCCACAGAGAATATCTTTGAGTTTGATTATGAGAGAGAAAAAGTTAGAAAAAGAAAAGCCGTCAGTTAGTGAGACACTTTCAGTCGTTTCTGTATATTTAATATGACCCATTTGTCTAAAATATTTCAAACAAGACAGCTGTTTATATTTTTTGCATATATTATATATATATATTAAGAGCTTGGCTCACGGTAAAGAGCACTTAAGTCTAGCTGTTTTTTTCTTCTATTAGTTACTATTCATTAACGATAGAGATCGCTTGGCGATCTTCTTTTGTAGACACATCCACCTTCTAGGTTAGAATAAAAAAATTCGATCATCTTCGTTGGGTTGGTGCCAACTCTTCATATTATTTCTCCATTTCGTTAAAGAAAAAAAAAAGCGTTTTGCTTGCTAGTTTTTTTTTTTTTTTTTTTTTTTTTTTTTACCTAGTAGGCAATAACTTAGAACAGGCCACAGTGTGACCCCAGCGTCAGATACATGAGGGGTGACATTAGGATTTATTTTTAGTCACCGTGGTCATGTCAAGCCAAGGCGTGCAGGGCGCTCATTGGCGTTCACACGACACGCTGTAATTTGTGTGAGGCTTATGTGGCTTCAAGGAGATAAAGCTGCTCATGTAAAGGTGAAGTGAAAAAGAAAAACTACTTTCCTGATGGGGACTGTTTTTGCTCTGCTTCTGTGTCGTAGGGGGAGTGTGTTTAGTTCAGAGGTAAAACATAAGCCTTTATATCACAGTGCCTTTCGTGGAGTGAAGGAGTGTTTTGCTTAACCCAGAATGGATTGTTGGTATAATTAATGAATCAAGATTATCAGAAGATACCATCTTTTGTTAAAAACTAATCTCCCCCCCCCCCCCCCCCATCCAGGAACACAAATGTCATAGGTGCTCCGTTTCATGTTTGTCTGGCATCAGGCTGCTCGGACTCCAGTGTTTGGCTCCTTGTAGCTGCGTAGTCAATCCTTTGGTTTGGGGTTTTTTAGTGTTTGTGTGCGTGTGTGTGTGTGATTGGGGGGGGGGGGGGTGAAAGCCAGAGAAGTTTAGGTAACTTGGTTCTTCCCCAAGCCACCTCAATTAAGCACTTCCTGATGACACTTGAAAGAAAACAGAGACACGACTTAAAGAAAGTAAGAAATGAAGTAGTGAAGAGTCGAAATCCATGATGCTGTCCTGTCTGTGGGGGGGGGGGGTGTCATCTCCTTTCAACTCTGTGCCCCCCCTCCTCCTCAGCTGTCCCATTCCGCTTTAGATTTCTACCACCATGGGACCCGTTTTACTCAGCGGTTTAGCCCCCAGCCCTCAGTAAAAACCTAATTTGGGCTCCTTTTTTGATCTGTTCTGCTTGTGGGTGTTTTGGGGGTTTAATTTTTTTTTATTTATTCCCCCTTTGCCTGCAGAAACCTCTTTTTGTCAGTGTTGCAGCCGAATGTGTAAATTGTAAATTATACTGCAGTCGCACTGTTCTGTTCCCTCCGTTTTGTCTGGAAGAACAACAGTCACCAAAGGCTCGTACCAAACTCCCACCCAGCTGGACTCTGACCTGTACTGTGGATCCGATGAAGGGAAACTGATCCCGTCCCCTCAGTAGTCGTCTTGCTGTGCTGCTGCAGCAATGTTGGTGACTTTTGTTCTTGAATGGCTTTAATACTGGCTTCTTTGGAGCTTTCCTCATTTTGCATAAGCTTTTCCTTTTCTTTTAAAAAGTTATTATTGCAAGTGTCCTTTAGTATATAACTTGTACTAAACGGCTTCAGTCAATATTGTACATATGATGTACTTTTATGTTATGTCTATTATTAAATGGTAGATTTCATATTTTGTAAAAAAAAAAAAAACCCTGTGTACAGAATTCAGAGGATTTTGGCAACGGCAGACAGTTGGTATGTGGCAGAAAGCTCAGCACATGTAACTATTTGCATTTAGAAACTGAATAGCATTTGGAAAGCTTTTTTTATCTTTGTTATTCCACATCTTTTTCTCTCTCATTTCTCTTTAGTTTTATTTCCCCCATCTCCTTCAGACATGTGTTGATCCCACATACACAAGCTTTTTGTGTGTGCTTTTATCCAAATCTCCAGTGGTGTACATCTACCTGTATACAACAAATAAAGAGAACATGTGAGTTTTATATTTTCATCCTAATAAAAAAAAAAAAAAAAAAAAAAAAAAAAGCAAGCAAGAGTCCTGTGAATTATTATTGGTCACTTTCAGTTTTTTCTTTTTTTTTGTTGGCCAGGTTTCAGACCCAGTTTTTGGTTCATATTCAGGTATGGATTGTATATGATGTAGATTATTCAAAGAAAACTTTAAGCTTATTCTTTTGTTTTGGGAATCGCAACGAAAAGATTGAAATAATATAATGCATCTGCAGTTTCTATCTGAGCCAGTGAACTCTAGCCAGAGTTCTCCTAGATAGGATTTTGATCCACAATCCCAGACATGAGGGTGAAATACTGAAAAATATATCTTGTGGACACTGCAGTTTTTTTTAGAGGCTACGGGAACAAATTCTTCCACTCACATCAAATGACACAATTAGCTTTGACTAAACTGCTTTGACTAATCATAAAATACAAAAGGATCATTTTATAACCTGAGGTACCAATTACTTAGTTGACAAAAGAAGGTAGAAAAGTGCGATTGTACATGTACAATCGCACTTTTCTACCTTCTTGTTCTAATCTTATTTGCATTTTTTTCTATTTACAGTTCACTTACCTTGGCAGCCTTTTTTTGACACTGTCCCAACCTTTTTACTTTTTTTTTTTTTCAAAATGTATGTGCTTCTGGCCTGAAATTCAAGATGAGCTCATTTGAACACAGTAATAGAGGAATTATTAGTTCTCCTCAGTGTTATATGTGATCCACAGAAGTTTTCAAACTGAATTTATGGTTATCTGCTGCCACCAGCTGGACGAAAGACATATTGAATATTTGAAACACTACAATTGCCATTTCCCTCCATTTAATAACAATCACTGCATTATGGCGACTTGTGTCTGTCCATTACTTGACACATTACTAAGGCATGAAGCCACCATCAACCCCACCTCAAAGCTTATTGGGCACTTAAAAATGTTTCTCATTGCATTTGATAAAACAAAGAAACATAAGTTGTTATCTTTAATAGATTTGACTTGTTTATGAATTGGATCCAATTTGATATTATGGCATTTCATGTGCCTGTTCAATTCAGGCCAATTCATCTTGCTTCTACATTCAGTCAGTTTTTTTGTTCTCAGAAAAAGAGTGTCTGCATTTGTTCTGAACATTCTCTCTGTTACTCTCCTGTGTGCATGCCCTTGTTTTTGCAGTGGGGCATTTTAATGCAGTCCTGACTAAACTGGCCTCGCTTTCTGCTTTAAATCCCACAGTGCCCATATTTCCTCACAGTAGCAACTGAAGGACGCTGCTTTGCTTTTTCCTCAGATGTTGCTGCGTGCTCCCGTCCCACAATCGGAAACTGCCCCCGACGCTCTCAAAATTGGCTCATCCGAGGTCACCTAAGTTCCTCTATTCGTGTGAGGATAGCGGTGATGTATCACGCCCACCCACCCTCTTGTGTCTGGCACCCCTGCTGAGATCTGAGCTGAACCCAAATGAACCTGGGGGGTGGATTTATTTCTTTTTTAGCCTCTGAAGCATAAAGATGTGGTTGTTGTTGTTGTTGTTGATGAGAGAGGGCTATGATAAAGGGAGTCAGCTGTTTATGTAGCCTTTGATTGTGTAAAATCTTCCCCATGTTTGCTGATGGATTCCCTCTTGCTGCCAAGATCAAACATGAGCTTCTATATTTACTGCGAAAGAACAAAACACAGTCACACAACAGCCCCTGTCCTTACATGCCTCCTCTAATGAGGATGCTACAGTGAATCCAATCAGAATACGTCAGTGGCTTTTGTGGGTGTTTGAAAGACTGTGCATCCCTCTCTTTCTCTCCTCTCAGACCAGGTCACATGAGTTCAGCTAGTGTGGACTCCTCGGCTAACCATTTAAAATGTGATTTGTTGCTTCTTTCCTCCATTTTCCTCTCCTCTTTTCCTTTTTGAATCAGGATGTTCTAACCGCCCTCCTTGACTGTCAGTGTTCAGATCTTGCTATGCAAACCCTCACCCTTCCCACCCCTCCCGTTGCCCTGCAAAAAAAAGAAGAAGAAGATGAAGAAAAAAAAAAAGTATCTCGTCACGACAGGAGATGTCAGAACCTATTTCCATGGAAACAGCTCTCAAAAGTTTGAGGCATCGACCCCTATTGTGACTACATCCAATCAGATTTTAGGCAAATCTTCCAGTGCTGCATTATTCCAGTCTGAATTGTGTTGTGGGCACATGTGTGGACCTGAGACTGTCTCTGAGGGAGGACTCTGTGTGTGTGTGTGTGTGTGTGTGTGTGTGTGTGTGTGTGTGTGTGTGTGTGTGTGTGTGGTGATTGAGAGAAGCAGAAGCCAGACGGTGACTCATCACACCACACACATGGTCTGAGATCCGGCTAAGCTCTGGGGTCTTGTATCTACGGCTCCATTTCCCCCCTCGCTCAGAAGCTGATGTCCTCTTGAGTGAAGCGGCCAGTCGCCCCGTCCACCTCAGCCCTTCTCACATGAGGACGCAGGATTGGGGTGCAGCCCGGTCCTGCTTTCTTTGATGCTTTACACTCGGCTTCAAAGTCTTCAGCATCAAAGCAGAGGACTTGGGATCAGGCCCAGGAGCAGCCCGGCATCCTGTCATACACACACACACACACACACAAACACACACGTACACAGAGGCATGTCCCTTTAGATTGATCTGGTTTTATCAAGACCAGTTTCCACACAAGGGTGGCAGCAGGACAAGGCTGGGGCAACCGGACCTATTCGTTGTGAAACGGAGCAGAAATATGCAGCGGCTGAGTGGGTAACTTAAGAACAGACTCATTAAAATCCCCACATCGAGATCTAAATCACATTCATTTATCTGGCAGCATTTTATGTGTCAAATCTCATTTATTGGGATTTTTCTTTGAAGAAGAAAGTAAAAAAAAAACAAGTAAATGGGACTGCCTGTTTCTATATGTTTAGTTCCTTTATTTTTCACTTCACCAGCATGCAGTTTAATTTGAAAGCAGTTTGACCATCTCAAAATCCCTGCACATAGATAGAATGCTGACACAAAACCCCTC